ATGTTTAAATGACGTATTTTCATTTGAAATGTTTAAAGACCCCCATAAAGCCATATTGGAAGGGCCCATATCATTTACCATCAAAATTACATTAAAACCAATCTTATGTAATTCTTCAATGATATTAAATAGTAGATCTTTAGTCTTATAAGTATCATAATTATAAAAAAAATGTTTATTCCAATTACTTACAAGGTAATTTAATGTAAATATTTCGTTAATCGTTTAATATATTATAGTACTGTATTTAATATTTAAGAATATACCTCGTACAACAACAGTCTGCACACATCTATGTGTACCAATCACCTGTTCATTTTTTTATCGTAACATATTCTATTGGATATATATGTTTCATCAAAAGCAATAACAGTAAGCTTTTCGTTGTCAGTCATTAAAGTTCCTGAATAAGTAAATTAGTTATTCTAAAATAGTAGGCTACACATTATGTTGTATAATATCAATGTGAAATAAAAAATTATTATTATTAAATAACCTTTGGCTTTCATAAGAGTTAATACACTTTCAAGTATTCCTGGTTCAAACACTTTCATCACGGACAATTGTCAAATTTTCACCTGTAGTAAACAATTTTGCTGAACAAATTTCTCTGTGTACAACGCCAACGAATTATATTTGTAGTTTTTGTTTTATATTCAAAATAAAAAGTATGGTTATCGTATTCTAAAATATCTTCCCCGCGATTGCTTTTAATTAACTTAACTTCCATATTTCAAGAAAAAAATTAAATACTGCAATACAAAAATGTTACGTTAAATTACGTATTACGACGAAACGGCATAGCTTAGTAGGTATTTGATCAAAATAATAAACTGATATACATTATATAATTATATATATAACGCGATATAACGCGATTACAACCGAAAATTGGACGTTAAACTGATACGGACCTGTGGGGTGCCGCGTGGGAAGGGTGGCATTACGTTATGTAACTGCTTCCCATTCCGTATCACGGTTATTTTCGATCGCGCGGATTGCCCCTACGTAGCAGAGTTATACCTAATGGTTAATACCTATTACGTAATCCTAACTTGGGTAGATTGGAAATCCTAGCTAACCAGAAAAAACACACTCCTGGTTAAATATCTCAATACTAAATGATATAAGCAAATAATTCGAGGTATGCGTCAACGTGAAAAACTCTTACCTTTTCGCTGACCGGACTAATTCCTCTGCGGGGAGCCATTTGACGCGGACACGATGATTGCTTCAAGGTTGATCGTGGTCCGGTCGAAGTGTTTGGTTGGGATTGAGGTGATGAAAAAAACACAACACAATCACTTTAAGAATGTCACAAAGTATATATTATAATATTGCGACCAAAAAATAATAATACATGATACATGACGTGCCGCTAGGTCAGATGAGTTTAACGTCGGACGATATGTTATCGGTCCTACGGTCCGATGGTGGAATCTCGAATGCTCTTTTCCGCCGACCGTTGTACGTCTTACGCGACACAGTCCCCGCGTCCCGCCTTGCCGTTACCGGCTCGGTGGGAGAGTCAACCCGGTCGCGCTGCTTGCATAACGTGGTGGTGGTTGGAGATAAGATAGATTGGTCGCTATAGTGCTTGTACATTGTACTTGCTACTAACGCGGGCCGCGTCAATCGATCAAGTGTACTACTATGGTAGTTGTTTTAGACTCGCGGGGACGTGTGCGGAGGTCTGTGTCCGGGTTGCTGAGGAAAACAAGTGACTTATACGAGCCAGTTCGCCGAACGGCCGGTCGACGTTTCCAGGCGCGGATGTCGCGCGCCGGCGTCGTCCGTCGTCGATTGGCGGTTTGATTGGGAAGCCACGGCGCTGTGAATTGTTTCGGTGCTTTTGAATTCAAACAGATATTGCGCGGGACCGCGTCATACTCCCCCCAAACCACAAACAGCGTTGGTGTTCCGGCAGTTGCCGGTGTTGTGGTGGGTCATGAGTGGAGGGTGGTTGTGGTAGACACCTGTCCGCGGGCACGTTTTCCGGCTGTGTTCAGCGGATGTGGCCCTGGAACTGTCATGATTGGGCCCGGGGTCGAAGAAGGCCCGCCTTGTCGTGGCGACGCCGCCCGACCGGACAAGCTGTCCGGCGCTAAGAGGCCTTCGAACACGGACTTCCGGAGGTTGGCATCTCCGGTCGCAGGCGCCAAACCTGGCGGTAGGTCATAAATGCAAGGGAGTAAACCTACAAAATCAACCATGAACGGATTCACAAATAATAAAATCGTTACCGGCCCAGTGGGATTAGGACCCCACAGGGCTAGTTGGACCGGCGCCAGTAGCCCCGCCGTACCCATCTCCACCATGCAAGGGCGAGCGAAGTGGAAGCCCCACACCCTCGACAAAGGTCATAGACCTGATTATAGAACGACGGCTATGCCGGAACAAAAAGACAAACTCCAAAAAGGGCTCCACTTAGCCACCGTATTCGAAACGGTGAACAGTCAGACGACTTACCTCTCCGCCTCAGAGGAGGCGGTGATAACAACGACTCTATGTCAGAAAGCGAAGGGACGAACAGTCATATCAATATGACGCCAGTTAATGCTCGTAAGAGAAGAGCAGGTGACTCTTCTCCTGGCCAAATTCCCCCATTTATTGCTGCCGAGTTGAGCGCGATAAAGGATTGCATAAGAGATTGTAAGGACTTTATGAGGGATATGCGCACCTCAGTTAAGATTGGTGTAAGGTGGACTGATAGCATCGAAGAATTCCTTGCAAAGATCCAAAATAGCAGCACGAATATCGCTATTGAAGCCGCAGTTATAGCCGGTAAATACCAAGAGAAAAGGATCGAAGTCGCGGACCAATATAAACACTTTGATGAAATAATAACCAAAACCCGCACCGACAGGTCGTATGCTGGGGTTGTCGGTCCAGGCACAGAAATAGTACAGAGTACAGAACAGGTACAAAACGCAACAGTCCGTGCAACCGATAATTTCCCTGCATTGACGACTGGGCAAAGACCAAGAGCAAGGAAAAAACCTCCGGCAATCAAAGAGAGAGACAAAATCGAAAAAGCCAAAAATATGCCAGTCAAACCGGTATTCATAGGCTGCACTGAGGACATTACAGTCGACAATATATGGGACGCAGTTAAGTCAGTCACAAATAAACCCAGGATCGATACATGCAAAAAGATGGCATCAGGACAAATCTTTGTTGCCAGTTCGGATGAACGTACCATTAATGCACTCAGATCTATGAAAGACGCGGTTACAGAAGTCGAACCAAGGAAACCAAGGATCAGACTAAAAGGCATACCTCTTGAGTACGAGGTACCCTTCATCCAGGATGCATTGATAAACCAGAATCCATCTCTTGAGTCTATGAATAAAGAAGACATCAACCCGCTCTTCAGGTGCGGTAAGCGCGACCCGGATATCGGTGACTGGGTCATCGAAGTGTCACCCAGTATCCATAAGGCCATCGCTGGCAAAAGGACCTTCATAGGAATGGTGTCCACATTCCCAACAACATTTATCGACCCGCCACATTGCAGTAAGTGCTTAAGGGTCAATCACGCAACGCGACACTGCAAAGAAGCCAGCAAGTGTTTCCACTGCGCTCAACCAGGACATAATAAGGCCGACTGTCCGAATAAGGACGGGGTCGATGAAAACCCACCTTGTCGTGGTGAACCCGCCCGGCCGACCTCGGTCGCTAAGAGGTTTTCAAAATCGGGTTCGTTTAAACTAGTTGTGACGGACCCCAGGCGTCGCGTGAGCTGTTACGTGGCGCCAAGTCGTGCTCTCGCGAGCGGCGTGCCTATACCTCGGGTCGGGAGCAACCCGCGATAAACCACCAGTCAGCTGCAGTGTCCTTTGGCTGGCAGGAATCGTGGGCGTAACCTGACCTCAGGGTCTGAGGGCCGTCGCGGACCAGAGTACAGGCGACAACCCTTAGCTGGGGGATCGCCCGGGGACCTTAGCCAGTTCTCGGGTGGTCAAGCCCGGCCGTGGACTTAGCCGTTTGCGGTCGGGAGAACTTCCGGAGGTTGGCAACTCCGGTCGTAGGCGCCAGGCACCGGCATGGACACACCTTGACCAGGCGGACTTACGGATGCAACATACGCTTAGCCCGACGTATTCCAGAGGGATCAGGGCTGTACCTGGCGGTAGGTAAAACGCAGGGAAGGCCACCCGGACAAACCGACGATGAATACTGACCTAAAATATATTACCCCAAGTGATAATCCGGTGAACCCGGCAAATTCACCCTCTGCGGAGGCATGGACCCATGGATTTTGGGGGGGTCCATCAGTATTCGTCAACCGGGCAGAGCCGAGCAGCCTGGCTGACGTGCCTACGGGCAGAACTCTATCTGACGCGCCTTCGGGCAAAAATCTGACTCACGCTAATGACCCTAATCTGACAATAATTGACGACGCTGGCTACGTCCTATCAGCCAGAAGCACGCTTCGTCTCGAAGGCGGCGGAGACGTAGAGGATAAAAATGGAGAGTTCGGCTCGTCCTTTAACACGCCGACTTTTCAAGGCAAACGCAGGAGACTCACCGAGGACGACCTAAGTCCCGATCCGAGCGGCTCTCTGAGTACGCACGCTTTGTCTATTGAAAAGTACTCGGACGAGGCAAGCACGCTAATAAATGACTCCCGAGCGATCCTTGAAGATATGGTTAAGGAAGCTAAGGTAGCTAGAAGATGGGTAAGCACCATCGGTCTTCAGCTTGACGAAATCCTAGTTAGCAATAACCGTCTTGCTCGTACAAGCTACAGAGTCCTCGGAATGTGGGAAGAACAGCGCAGCGAGCTCCGAGCGTTTCAGGAGCATATAAATGACCTCCATAGCGACATGGGCGCTCTTAAGGAACGATATAGTCAGTGCCAGGCTGACAGAGACAGCGCCAAGGCGGAATTGGCAGCCCTACGTGCGTCCGGCAGTTCTGCCCCCCAGCCGTAAAATATGACAACCAGGCTTATACCGCCACCCGTGGAATACATTGATATTGACGATGACAGCATTATGGTAATAAGTCCATCCGGCGCTTCCTATGCTGATGTTGCTGCTGCCAGATCGAGGGCTCGCGGAAATAAAACCCGGGAAGATTTCCCACAGCTCAGAGCAGGAAAAAACGCACCTGTTAAGAGTAGGCTGGGTGCGGGAAAACCCATCACGAAACCAGGGGTCAATCAAGTCAAAGCTAATAAGAAAACCGATACGGCCATAAAGTCCACAGTCGCTAAAACTCGCACTAAAATTTTCGACAAAGCCAAAAGCGCTAAGGCCGACACTCGCTTTGAGGTAGTGGGTGGAAATGACGCTTGGCTTGAAGTGAGAAAATCGGTAGAACAGAAACTAAGTTGTCCCCGCATACGCATATCTAAAAATAAGGACGGAATAATCCTTTTTCCGGAGGACTCTGCATCCTTGAATGCTCTAAGGCGCACGAGCAAATTAGTGGAGAGGAAACCTTTCCTCCCTAGACTCCTCGTGGTTGGAGTGGACAAAGAGCTAGAAAAGGAACTCCTCGCTGGATATATAGCTAACCAAAATGAGGGTCTAGGTCTCTCCGCAGAAGATACTGAGAGTATCAGGCCACTATTCCGAACGGGTCCCCGAGATAGGCCCACAGTCAATTGGGTTATTGAAACTCGCCCGGAGACCTTCTGTAAACTCGAGGGAAAAACAGTGTATTTGGGACTAACAAAGTGCAGAATGAAACCCCATAACGACCTCCCTAGTGCTACAACTGCCAAAGATATGGCCATACGGCCAAGACCTGCCGTTTAGAGGACCCAATCTGCAAACACTGCGCAGGAAAGCACGACTCCCGAAATTGTGACTCGGATTTGATGAAATGTTCTAACTGTAAAAGCAAAAATCATAAAGCTTCTTCGGCTAACTGCCCGGCCAAAACTAAGGCTATGAGAAATCTCCTCCGGCGAACGGACTTCGCAGTTACTGGCCAAGAATGAGTACTCACATTAAAATATACCAGCACAACGTGAACCGCGACCGCATTGCGAGTCATCAACTTCGCGAAGCCTGCAAAGTGAATAAAATTGATTACTTACTGATCCAAGAGCCACTAGTTATCAGCGGGAAGGTCTACGCCTTTGAGAGCTGCAGATCGCATATCAGTAAAAGCAATGGCGCCGCAATAATCGCATTCACCAACAGATACCAAGCGCTTAAACTAAGCAACTTCTCGTCAAGTCATATTGTCGCCATCAAAGTCGCCTATGGTAGCGGCAATAACGAACACGTCGTGCTAGCTTCGGCCTACTTTAAGTACAGCCTACCGACAACTGCTCACGTTGAGCAACTTGAACACATTATCGCAAAGGAAAAAAGGACTGTGATCTGTGCCGATACTAACGGTCATTCAGATCTATGGCTCTCGAACAAACGAAACCGCCGAGGAAAGATTGTAGAACAATTCATACGAAAACACGGCCTTATCGTTCACAACTGTCCCGGTACGATAAACACCTTTTGTCGCCGTGATGGACGAACATCTAATATAGATGTCACGATGTCTACAGCCAACACGGCCAGTCTCGTCAAAGATTGGACAGTCATAGACCTGACTGACAGTGACCACCGTGTCATTAGCTTCAAACTGGCAGTGAAAAAGCCGGTAGAGCGAGTCCCAGCTGAGATTAGGTATGACGTCAGATCTGCCGACTGGGATCTCTTCAAGACCTCTCTACTAGGTGAAATCGGTCGCATACCAGACAGCAGTATCAGCATAACCACAACGGCTGATGGCATCATACGTGCAATAACCATGGCGGCTGATAGGTCAATTCCTAAAAAGAGACAAACCGCAATAACGGGCAGAAGTCCATGGTGGTCTCCAGTCCTGTCCACTCTTAGACAGAACCTTGTCCGACAGAGGCGACGCGGCCTAATGAGCACCGATAGGCCAGCTTATAACAAATTGAAAAATGTATTCCTGACAGAGACCAGGAATCACAAAAGGGCCGCATGGAAGTGCTTTGCGGGAGACCTCAATGAGAACCCGTGGGGCAAAGCTTTCTCATGGGCAAACTCATGCAATTCTATGCCCAGCTCCCTTTCTGATGCGGATGGTTCTCAAACCACAAACTGCCGCGAAACAGCTGATTTGGTGTTCAGCACATTTGTTCCTCCGGACCCGCATGGGAAAATACCCGAATCTCATGGTCCGATTCAGCATAAGGACGAACTCAGCCCGGACATTATAAAAAATGCCATTTGGAAGATGAGGACGAATAGCGCTCCCGGGTCTGATGGCATCACAGCAGGCATTCTCAGGAAAGCGTGGATGCCACTTAGGGACATCATCACGAACCTCTTTCAGAACTGCCTTCAGAACGGGACCTTCCCGGAGTGCTGGAAGGCAGCGAGACTAATAATAATACCAAAACCCGGTAAGGAAAACTTGGGCGAGGTGAAGTCCTACCGTCCAATTAGTCTCCTGCCTGTCCTGGGGAAAGCACTCGAGTCTGTTATAATAAGCGAACTGTCGCGCGAGACACGCCTTGACTCTTACAGCGAGCAGCACGGATTCACGATGGGCAGATCCACCATCAGTGCGATCGAAAACGTTTACAGCTGGGTCGATGCGTCCAGCGCAAGACACATATTTGGCGTCTTTTTAGACATAACTGGCGCATTCGACAACGTACAATGGTCGCCACTCTTAAGACAACTCGATCACCTTGGTGCATCTGTTGGAACGCAGAGAATAGTAAGCTCTTACCTGAAAAACAGATCCGCTGAGTTCGTTCTAGAGGGCACGAGATACAGCAGGACGCTCGAACGGGGTTGCCCTCAGGGTTCTCAACTCGGGCCGACGCTATGGAAGGTCGCTATGACCCCGATCTTCGAGTTGATTAAGGAATCTCGAACGGTAAAAGTCATTACCTACGCGGATGATATCCTTCTGATGGTTGGTGCAGCCAGACCTCAGACGGCTTTCCGCCGAATAGAAAGGGAACTCGAAACCCTAAAAACATGGGCTTCAAATTTCAAGCTCGAGTTCTCTGCTGCCAAAAGCCAACTCCTGTCCCTGAAAGGCGGCCTGAAGCCCCGGTACAGTGTCGGGTTCGGAATTGGAGCGGATGCGCCCAGGATTTCGTCGACGGCCACAGCGAAGTACCTCGGAGTACTCCTTGACCCAAGACGGAGTTACTGGGATCACGTCGTCTCCGTGTGCCAGAAATCAAAACCCATGTATAATCGGCTTAGGACACTCTACTCTGCGAACTGGGGAATGGGCAGAATGGCTGCCAGGACGATATACAGAGGCGTCTTCCTGCCAAGGATCACATACGCGGCCGAGATCTGGTCCGAGGGCACGAAACTAGTAAAGAGCCAGAAAAAGTTACTCTCCGCGCAAAGGGCCCCACTGCTGGCTATCACGAGCGCATATGCAACGTCATCCACGAATTGCCTGGCCGCAGTGGCGGGAACACTACCCCTTGATCTGGAGATACGATTTCAGGCCCTGAAACGAGCCAACTCCAGACATAAAATAACTGCGGAAGTCTTCGCAGACAGAACAAATGACTTAATGAATGAATGGCAGACCAGATACGCGTCTACTGAGAAGGGCAGTTGGACTCAGAAGATGATTCCATCGGTAAAGTTCAGGTGCAACATACCGATGGATCTGGACCACTGGACCACCCAGTTCTTAACCGGCCACGGGGACTTTAGAGCCAAGCTCCACAGCTTTACGCTGGCTCCGGACCCCATATGCGAATGCGACCGGATGCCGGAAACCGCAAGGCACGTTTTGATGTACTGTCCTAGAACCTTGGACGCCCGGAAGAAACTAAGAAGGGTTCTGAGACAAGAGGGTGTCAGATGGCCACCAGAGGATGGCGCATTCCTCACGAGCAAGAAAACGTATGAGGCACTTGCAACTTTTGCAAGAGAGGCCTTAACAAACAGATCGGACCAATGAGAATTGAGGACAAATGGCCTTAGGGGCCAGAACGCCGCCCCGTCAAGGACGGAAGGCAAAGTCTCGGGGTGTTCCCGATGAGCACGTATGGCGTAAGTGGCAGAAACGGGGAACACGCTCGAGCGCGTTCTGGCCCGGGACGTGCTCATACGTCAGGGACGCGGAGTCCGGCCCTGTTGCGAGGGCCGTACAGAATTTCGCATCAGTATTCCCTGCTTGTCGTACAAGGCGACTAAAAGGGAAATGACCAGTCGGGGTCGGCGCCCGGGGCGCGGACGCACCGAAACCTACGGGGATTAGGGCGTTGAGAGGTTCTGACCGCGACCTCATGAAGAGCGGGTCGGTCACTGGGCTTAGCCACCTGGTGACGCCTCCGGGAGGCGGAGCTTAGGGCCCACCGTGAGCCCGTGGTACACGGCCCAAATCTCGGGAGGACCATAAGCTGAGGCAACTCGCCGACGAAGCTTCGTCCGCGCATCCCACCATTGATGTGCCATACCTGACGGGAGGCGAGAATGGTGCTTCGGGATGTGAGGGGGCCCCTCGGTGTTGAGAGATTAACAACGAGCCCTCACACGTCGGTCGTGGTGGACACTACCTCGACCGACGGCGGTTTGGTTTCGAAGTGGCAGTTTGCAGGAGCATACTATGTGGTGAAAGGCCACACGCTTGGCCAGGGGAAGGCGGCCGAGTGACTGGACCGGGCGGACTCGTACGGCGACAGTCGGCCGGGAAAGCACGGCCCTCCTTAGCGCTCACCCAGCTTATCGTTGGAGCTATATGCAGCGAAGGTTGTCCGTGACCAAAAACGGAAAGCAAAGTGGATAGATTGCGGCCTCACCAGGGTGGCGAAAGGCACCTGTATGCCCTAGCCTGATGGTACGGGCGCTCCGGGGTACCCCTCCGTGCGCACCCGGTGCTCGTGGTCCTTAGACGACGTGCGGTCGTCAGTCTCCGGCGATCCTCTGGCCATGCAACAGTGTGGGGAGGGTCCGTCGGTTGGCGGTCGTATGCCTCTACGGCCCTTGACTAGCACTTAGTGCTAATATAAGGTCCGTAGTTGTAGTCGGAAGACTGGCCGCAAGGCCTGTCGGATGACGTCAAACCCGGGAGCTTCGTGTCCGAATAAGGACAAACCCCCGACCTGTGCCCAGTGCGGCGGTCCGCATAGATCGATCTCATCAAGTTGCCCAATCTGGGCGAAGAGAGCCAGAACAGTTCAAATGCGTACCCAATACGAAGAATAGGATCCGTCACAGTTCAACCAATGGACACATAGCGGCACCACTGTAGGACTACATCGTCCTACGTCAGCACAAGGCCCAGTTTCGGCTGGGATGGGCCCGACGACCCCTTGCTGCCTGAGTCAATCACCGACCGGGGGTGCGGTCGTGACAAGTTAACATCTGTCACGACCAGAAACCCGTACAGCGGGCCCGGGGAGCCCCACTGCCGCAAGGTTAGTGCCCCGGTACTGAGGCCCAACAACATCAAGGGCCTCTGGAGTTGGACTCGCTGGGGCTGCGGTTTTGCTAGAAACGACCACTAGCCTAAGGCTAAATCGGAGGTGGATACTTATATACTTGTCATGATTGGGCCGGGGTCGATGAAGGCCCGCCTTGTCGTGGCGACCCCGCCAGACCGGACAAGCTGTCCGGCGCTAAGAGGCCTTCGAACACATGGACTTCCGGAGGTTGGCATCTCCGGTCGCAGGCGCCACAATTCCTGGCGGTAGGTTAAAAACGCAAGGGAGTAAACCCATAAATCAAACTATGAACGGTACTACAAACAATAAACTCGTTACCGGCCCAGTGGGATTAGGACCCCACAGTACTAGTTGGATCGGCGCTAGTAGCCCCGCCGTCCCCTTCTTCACCTTGCAAGGGCGAGCGAAGTGGAAGCCCCACACACGTAACGATGGTTCTAAACCTGAAAATAAGACAACGGCAATGCCGGAACATACTGACAAACTTTATAGAATGGCTCCACTCGGCCACCGTCCTCCCCTCCGCCTTCGCGGTGGGAACCGTGACATTTCAGACAACATCGATACTGACAACGACCAAGGCGATGGTCAAATTATAATAACGTCCACAAATGTACGGAAGAGGAATGCTGGTGAGTCTCCTCCAGGCGCCGTGCCAGAAAACATTACTACCGAAAGCTTGGCAATAGAGTACCACATCAAAGATTGCAAACTGTTCCTACAGGATATGATTATAGCGACAAAAATAGGGAAAAAGTGGATGCAGGGGATTGAAGACTTCCTTGAAAAAATACAGTCATGTAGTGGCAATATCGCCCTCGAATCAGCGGTCATAGCTGGCAGGTACCAAGAGGCTAAGACTAAGCTACTTTCAGTTCAGGAAGCCTACGGACACCTTCACGCGTGAAATTAGAACGTTCCACCCGTTATTGTCATGTCGGTCTATCTTCGGCATGGATGTAAATGCCTTTTCCCACAAATGGTTCGATCACAGACGTAACGAAAAGGGTAGAGTCGTCGAATCAATGATTACGGATCTAAACTTGACCATTCTGAATAAGGAAGGAAATGAATATACTTTTCAAGGCTCGAGAGGCCGAAGCAACGTCGATATTACACTCTCAACCGAATCCATGGTAAACAGTATACGCGATTGGCGGGTACTCAAAGGCATCACCAGCAGTGATCACCTGATGATCTGCTTTAAACTACAGGAGCATGTATCGGACAGTATCATACTAGCACCGAGAGTGCGATACAACGACCGCAAAATCAATAAATCCTTGCTTGCCGACACTGTTGCTAAGTCGTTAGTATCCACACCATTGGACGCTACCATAAACGGCTCAGCTGCCCGGATAACGGACTGTCTGGTAAAGGCATGCGATCGGCTGCTGCCTAGACAATGCGGGTCAAGGAAAGCACGTCCCCCGTGGTGGAACACGGACACCACCGTCTCAAGGAGCGAACTAAATCGGGCTCATAGGGCAATGCTCAGAAACGACAACCCAGATACCAGGGCACGATTTAGGGCTGCCAGGAACCGGCAAGTGGGTAACATCCGTGCAGCCAAAAAAGCTATATGGTCCAAGTTCGTAGAAGATCAGTCTATGTGCAAAAACCCTTGGGGTAGGCTGACGAAATGGTTAATCAAAGGTAAAAGGATTCAGGCAGTACCCTCAGCTCTGAGAATGCCCGATGGTAGCTACACTTCGAGCTTGGGTGATACAGTGAGTTACATGTTAGATGAGCTGATCCCGACCTCGAACACGGACATCAGGCCCGACCTTGTCCCCAGAGTAACAGGTCCTTTCCCGCAGGTATCAGCGGACGAACTCAGAGCAGTTATAATGCGACAGAAAAACAAGGAACCAGGTGCCGACGGACCAACTGCTAGGATTATAAAGGCAGCCTGGCCCGCTATCGATCAAAAGATGTACCTGCTGACAAACAAGTGCCTCAAGGAGGGCAGATTTCCTGATCCTTGGAAAAATGCGGCCATAGTGGTACTCCTGAAGGGCAAAGGGAAGGACCCATTAGTACCAAAAAGCTACCGCCCGGTCAGCCTGCTCCCGGTCCTCGGCAAAATTTTAGAAGAAGTAATTTGCGACATACTTGAAACAGAGATCGGGCCCAACCTAAGCCCTCGACATCATGGCTTTAGGCTGGGAAAATCTACCACGACGGCACTTACCGAGCTACAAACCTGGGTCGACCAGAGTGACGGACATGTACTCGGTACATTCTTAGATATAAGCGGGGCATTCGACAATGTCCAATGGCCAATGTTGATCCAGGATATGCGTCACCTCAACTGTGGTCTCACCACCACATCGATGGCATTGGACTACCTCACGAACAGAACAGCCACCTACAGGGTGGATGGAGTAGAGCGCACCAAGACTCTAACCCGAGGATGCCCCCAGGGGTCTAAATTAGGTCCAAGATTGTGGAACCTGACTATGGACAGGCTACTCAAAGTAAAACTGCCGAACGACACAACAATAGTGGCCTATGCAGATGATATCGCCCTGCTAGTTTCGGGCAATACCAGAAAAGACATATTAAAGACCACGGAAGAAGCACTGGTGATTATTGCTGAGTGGGGCCAAAGAAGAGGACTGGCCTTTTCAAAAGAGAAGTCTGTAATGATACCCTTGAAAGGCGGACTTGTCCCAGTGTTTACCGCTGCCTGAGGCAGTGACCGTATAAAGTCCACGACGGAAACAAAGTACCTCGGCTTACAGCTCGGAGCTAATGTCGACTTTGGTGGCCATGCAGTGAAATTGCTGGACTCCAGCTCGGACGTGTTCTCAAGGCTCAAATCGGTCAGAAAGTAAAAATGGGGCGTCTCCTCAGCTATGGCGCTAATACTATACAAGGCGGTCTATATTCCGAGGATAACATATGGGGCCAGCATATTGTACCCATCAGTTGCGACGAATGCGGTCAAACTGAAGCTTGAGTCGGCGCAGAGAAGAGTGCTCCTGACCGTAACTGCCGGATATAAGACTGTGTCTACCAGGGCACTACAGGTGGTGGCTGGCACCCCGCCGCTATACCTACAAATCGAAATGGCCATAAGGGTCAGCCAAGGTATGCCGAAACACGAGGCTGAATACATATGTATTGCAGAATGGCAACAACTATGGGACAACTCCATCAAAGGTCGGTGGACCTATGGCTTCTTCCCCGACATCAGGACAAGACTGTCAACACCAATAACCTTCGGACACTATACAACGCAGTTGATAACGGGTCACGGTGACTTCCAGTTTAAGCTACACAGATTCGCCCTTACAGATAGCCCACAGTGTAGCTGTGGTGCCGAAGAGGATTCAGCCGAACATATCCTGTACACCTGCCCAAATATGCTACCTCAAAGATCGAAACTCGTAGAATCCCTCCAATTATCGGGAGTCGAATGGTCATGCGACAGGAAGACATTCACCACATCAAGAAAGGCCTGGTCAGCGCTGGAGTCATTTGCCAAGGAAGTCCTCACTTCCAAAGAAGCCCAGAGACGACAGGAGAGACTGCTCCAGGAGGAAGCAGTCCAGGATCAACCGTAGGACCCATCCTACATCAGAGCAGGGCTTGGCGCAAGCTGAGATGGGCCCGACGATCCCACGCTACCTGAGTCAACCACCGACTGGGGGTGGGAGTACCCTGGAGTAAAATCCACGGTACCCATATACCCGTATAGCGGGACCGGGGAGCCCCACTGCCGCAAGGTTAGTGCCCCGGTACTGAGGCCCAACAACACCGAGGGCCTCTGGAGTTGGACTCGCTGGGGCTGTGGCTTCGCTAGGAACGACCACTAGCGGCAACGCTAAGTCGAAAGTAGATACCTCAAGTTCTGTCATGATTGTGCGACGTGGGGGGGGGGGGCTGTAGTAGTTGAGACTTACCTCCATGTCCTCGTCGTCAGCCATGCCTGCATCCGTCTCTCGTAACAGGTCCGCCTCCTCTTCCGGGGTTATTTCCATATCCGTGGTTTGGGGGGGGGGGGGTTGGCGGTCGTTAGTTTTTTCGTGGTTTCTCCGGAAGTGTGTGTCACTTCCGGCACCATGGGTACGGCGAGGTTTGAGGAGGTCACAGGGCCTGGCTGCCACGGATTTTTCCAGGTGGTGTTGCTGGGACTTTTTTTTCGCCTTGTGGTCCCGCATCCGCTGCAGGTTCCGGCGTTGGCGGGCGTTCAGCGTGGCTGCATTTGTTGCCGGTGCGGTTGCCCTTGGTTTCGATGTGGGTGGTGAGGGCGGCGTGTTGGCGGCCGTTCTCGGTGGAGGAATGGACAATGTCCTCGGTATCGGCCTCTCCATCAGTGGACGGGGTGGTGTCGGCATTGGTGGCCACCGGTCGAGTTGTGGTCGCCGGTCGTCTCACCCGTCTGGGGCTTCGCGACCTGTTGTGCCGCCCTGATGTTGTGGGTTCGAAACTTGTCGCCCTTCGGAACACGTCGGTGCGGTCTTCCCACCCCCTCGTGTAGGCGGCCCGCAGTACTGGGTCCCGCTGTAGCTGCGCCGTCGTCATTTGGCTAACCCATGCCGCCGTGGTGGTGTTGGTGCCCTCTTCCAGGGTGGCCGCCCTCAGCAACTGCTGGCTGCGTTCCAGCAGTTCAGCCGCTTGTTGGAGTGTGGAGGTTGTTGGTTCCATATCGGGGTGTGGTGCTGTTGCAACTGAAATTAAATACACTAAGTACTATTGTGGGTTTATGGTTTAGAGGGGTTGGGTGGGGGTTGTTTGGGACTCTGCGGTGTTTGCCCGTTTGAGGCAGGACACGTGTATTTTGCGTGCTGGCTGTTGGTCTGTGATGAACACACCTTTGCCTACGCGTTTGTGCAGTTTTACCGGTCCCCACCATTTCGGTGCGAAGCCGGCGTGAAATTTTTTGTGCGCGTAGTACATCGTGTCACCTGTTTTGTACTTTGTGTCCGTGAGGCCACCTGTTGCAGGTGGTGCGGTCAGTACGTTATTTTCGCGACTTACCCTATCCATATTTATTAGTTCGATCGGGCTGTCCGCTGTCCGTGACAGTACCCAATTCCGTTTGCCCTCTCTCCCGAGGACGAGTACCGATGGTGGGTAACCTGTCCGGTCGTTGTGCCTGTTTCTGATCGAAAAAATCATTATTACGATCGCTTTACGCATGTCATTTGCTGTGGGCCGTTGTCGCTTAAGCATACACGGGGGTATCCGAAACGTGAAAAGAATTCGCGTTCGAGCGTTTAAGTTATTGTTTTTGTAGTGGCTGTTCCAAGGGGGTATGCCTCGGTCCATCTACTAAACAGGTCTGTGGCGACCAGTAAATATTGTTTTCCCCTACTCGTGCGCGGATAGGGGCCCATGAGGTCTATGCTAATCACCTCCCAAGGGTGTCGGGGTATTCTGGTGGTCGCGGGGTCGTCTGTGCGCGTGTTTAGTGGTTTGGTACACTCGCATATGTGACACGACTTGACGTACAGTCGGATGTCGTTTTTTTGGCCTTTCCAAAAAAATCACTGTATTATCGCCCTTTCAGCCCCGGTGGTTTGCGAGTACGTGATCGTGGTATGTCCAGATCACGTTCTGTGTTTTATTGTTTGGTATGACTACGGGTGTGTGTTCGCCCAAATTTATCCGTAGAAGACCATCGGTAAAAATGTATTGATTTTTTTTACTTGCGGTATCGTGGGCTGGGTCGTCCGTTGTCATGTTGTCCGCTATGTCTCGTGTGTTGGGATCATTGGCCTGTCATGTCACGAGCATAGCGTGTGTAATTGTGGGACCACTGGTAGTGTCAGCCGGGTCCGTTGTGGCGAACAGATTGTTGGCCGGTGAGATAGTAGGGGTGATGTGTGGTGAGGTGGGTACTAATACTAGCCGTTCCTCGTCTACCGGGGGCCCAGTGGTTGGGTTGCGCGAGAGCATGTCCGGCGCCTTGTTTTGTACGCCGGTCACATGCGTGGTTTTGTAGTCCAGGTTAGCCAGCTGTAATGCCCACTTGGTTAACTTGGAATTTGTATTTTTGGCTCGGTGGAGCCATGTGAGTGCTGAGTTGTCTGTATATAGGTCAAAACGGCGGGCTTCTAGGTATGGTCTAAACTTGTCAGTTGCCCAGATTATCGCGAGGCACTCACGTTCTACCACGGCGTACCTTGTTTGCGTATCACTAAACTTTTTGCTTGTGTAGGCGATTATTCGCCTTTCGTCCGGGCTGTCACCCCGTTGGAAAAGGACGGCAGCAGCTCCTATCTCGCTAGCATCGGTCTGTAGGCAAAACGGTTTTCCGTAATCCGGCGTCGACAGTTTTGGCGAATCGTACAGGGCCCGTTTTATTTTGGTAAATGTCGCCTGTTCGGTTTCGGTCCACGACCATTTGGTCCCCTGTATGAGCCTATTCGTTAAGGGTGCTATGGTGTCCGCGTAGTTGTCGACAAACTGGCTGTACCAGTTGCAAACGCCCAGGAATTTCAGTAGGTCCCTCAGCTTAGTTGGTGGGGGGTAATTTATGATGCCCTCTAGTTTCTCCGGTTGTTTGTCTATTCCTTCGGAGGTGACTAGGTGTCCAAGAAATGAGATTTCGGTTGCTCCGAATCTGCATTTTTCGGGGTTGCATATCAGCCCGTGTTTCTGTAGGCGTCCTAGAACTTTGTCTAAGTGGCACTGGTGTTCGTCCGCGGTGTTTGAAAACACCACTATATCGTCTAGAATAGTTACTTGCTAATTTCGAAAACTAACTTACTATTACTTGCTAATTATTTGCTATTTTTAGGCATATTTTGAACTGTATTGTGTAATGTGGGTGGGCCAAGTTCATGGACGTCGGACGAACTCGTCCAGGTACCCCCTCAAGACTTCGTCCATTAGTCGCACAAAGGTCATGGGGCTGTTTTTGAGGCCGAAAGGGAGGACTCGGAATTGGTATAGGTCCCGACGCGTCCGGAATTCCGTGTATTTTCGAGCGTCTTGCTTAAGTGGTACTTGCCAGTACCCCGACTTAAGGTCAAGAACGCTGAACACTTTTGCCCCTCTCATCTGACATATCAGCGTATCGAGGTTAGTGATGGGCGATAATGGATAATTTGTACTATCGATTATTATTCGATTATTCATATAGACTATCGAATAATTATTCGAATAATATTTTACACGACTGAATAATCAAAACTATCGAATAATCGTTCGAATAATCAAAACTATCGAATAATTATTCGCATAATACCATACATAACTAAATAATGAAAACTATCGAATAATCAATACTTATAAATAATTATTTGAATATTATCTGTAGCTTGAATACTAGTTATTTCAGTTGTATTGTTGTTTTTAACCCTTTCATCCCCGATTTAATCGGATAAAAAATTAAGATAGCCAATTTTAGTAAAAAGCTTTTTAGTTATTTCCTTAGAATTTCACCAAGATCAATTTTCGGAAATAATAATTGTTAAATAATTTAGTATTTATTATTTGACTTTTATAAGAAAGAATATTAATAATGACAAAAAAATATTTTTTCTTATGATCTGTAAAACAAAAATACGCATATTTGGGTGTTGGCTACACTGCTCTATGTGTAAAATTGATTACAATAGTAAGAATAAGCAAAATAAGGTCTGAAAGGGTTAAAGTATTGCTCAGTAGAAAAGCACAAAAGTACAATTTGTATTTTCTCAAGAATCTCAATATTTAAGAGGTAATTATATTTATTTATTTACATATTTTTAACTGTTATTCCTCAAATTGTACATCTTTTCATAAATATATTATAAATTATAATTTGTATTAAATATTGCATATTTTGATTTTTTTTATCTTCTATAACTGCCATGTCTTAGTTAGGTACAACTTACAATTTGTAATTTTTCATATTATAAAATATAAATGATTATAAAGTCATATTTTTTGAATAATATAAATTTAATACCTATTCATTCATTTTAAGTTGGATATAAGTACTTTCTAAAAACTTTTCGGAATCCTTTATATTATTAATTATTATTATACAAATAATGTAATGTTTTGAAAACATATGTATTATATTGTTATTGATAAATGTCTAAATATTATTTTTATAGATTTTCCTAATACCTATTCAACTATAATATTAATAACTCAATTTAAACTTTCAAAATTTTATTTTAAATAAATGACAACTTATGAGTTATGATCGTACCTACTGGCTAGTGGCTACAGGCTACTAGTAGGTAGTTAACTATTTGGTATTACAACTTTCCTGAAAACTCAACAGAATAATTATAAGTAAAGTATGATTTTATATAAGATTTTGTCATTAAACCAAATATGAAGTTTCTTAGAATTGAATTGTATAATGAGCATATCTCCAGGCTACATTTAGTTAATGTGTTTCCATACACCAAGTCCAAACCAGTTGGATAAATAGGTTGACATGTCTCCAAACCAGTTGGAAATCTGCAAATAATAATACAAGAAATACATTAATTTAAAATATTTTATTAAAATATAGCTTAGATATTTTTAATATTAATATTTTTAAAAGTTTCAAAAATGATAATAACTACATATTTTTGTGTAAAAAAATTATAGTATCTAAATTATCCGGCAAAAGTCTGTTCCGCCTAGCACTCATTATTTGTCCTGTTTTAGAAAATATTCTTTCTGAAGGAACAGATGTTGCAGGAATCATGGCATATTTTAGGGCAACTTCACTCAGTGGATGAAGTACAGATTTGTGGCTAAGCCACCATTCAGCCACGTCACAGCTCAAATGTTGATAAGACATGTTTAAGTACTGTTTCATCAAAGTAATAGCACTACTGGTTGATGTTGTTTGACCCTGCAAAATGTTAACTCTACTTTGCAAAAAGCTCCAAAGATTTTCTGAGTCTTCTTCAACTTTCTCAGTAGGAACTTCATGTTCTAAAATAAAAAATAAGTATGATATAAATGATAGATTTTGAATAGAATAATAGTGGTTACTTATATTTACTATCAAAAAAATACTTACCAGCATCTAAAGTATTACCTATGTGTTAAACTTGCTATTTCCGATATAATGCTTCTCTCAGCTTCAGAAGCATTTTGCTCAACTCCAAAAGCAGCTTTTTTAAACCTCGGGTCTAAAAGTGTTGCACGAGAAAAATATGGAAATAGTGATTGTGTTTCAATACCTTCAAAACGCCAATTTACTTGCGCCACCAAGTTTGATTTTATAAATCTTCCAACTGATGTTTTTGGACTCTTAGAGCATAATGAAGTTTGTAATCCTATATTTAGAATAATGAATATTATGTAAATAAAATTCAACTTTTAAAGTAAAACATTAATTACCTCTTATCAAAGGTACAACTCTTGATATTGTAGGATATTGCTCAGCAGATAGCTCAACTATTAAGCTATTGAATGGTCGTAACAACGGTATAATGTCTTCAACAATAACCCATTCTTCAGGTGTAAGATTTGAAGGAGCTTCTTTTAGTGATATCATGACAATTGTGAGGGGTTCTTTTAATTTCACCAGCCTCTCAAACATAATTAAAGTGCTGTTCCATCTTGTGCGAACATCTTGTTTGAGTTTCAAGATTTGGGTATAGCCCAGTTGTTTTTGTTTTTCCCCCAAGATTCTATTTACAACTTCACTACGCTTAAAAAACCTACGATACTTCGGCATTTTTTTACGATCTGTTTCATTTTTTCTGAATCAGGAAGTTCATTTATTTCTTCTCCTTCTAAATGTTCTTCACTGAGATATAGAGCTTGTTGAACTATAAGATTTAGTTTGTGGGCGACAAGGTATGTGCTGAATATCCATTAACCTAACAGCTGACTTGATGTTAGACCCACCATCAGTGACAATTCCTACTACTTTGTCTAGAATTCCCCAACTATTCAATTCACTGGTCATTATTTGAGCCAAATGAGCACCAGTATGACTGTGTTCTAAATTTTTTGTATACATTACAACTGTTTTCAGTTTACTTTGTCCTTTTGGAAAAAAATGTGCAGTCATAGTTTTGAAAGAATCTGTATTAATTGATGTCCAGATATCAGTAGTAATGGCAATATAACTAGTATCATTCAAAAGAGTCTGAACCTTATTTCGGACATTTGTATACATATTAGGTATTATAGTTCTACCAAGTGCCCTTCTGCTAGGAATTGTATATCTGAAATAAGTTTTAATTTTTATAAAGTGTATAAAATTAATTTTTAATTTCTTATGTTATTTTATTTTCTGTTTAATAATAATACTTTTGTATTTACTAATTGTGTATGATATATATGTATATAATTGTGGAAAACTGTAATGTTTAGTAATAAAGCTTAAAACAAAAAAATGTATGTACAATATACATATCTATGATTTTATGGTTTTTACTTTTTACTAACTTTGTTAAATGTTTTACTTAATAAATGTTTCTCTGGTTTTATAATAATTGAAAAAATGATGGTCATTTATATTTACCTAGAGTCCAATATCTTCACCGTATTTTTAAATCCTTCATTTTCAACAATTGATAATGGTTACAAGTCCTCTGCTATCATCCTAACAATTGCTTCGTAAAACGCTTTAATTTGTAGTTCTGACGGAGCTCCAAATCTGAAATAACACTTTATAGGTAATAAATAGTTCAAATGTAAAAATGTAAATAAAATATAATATTATGAATAAAAACTAAAAACCAAATACTCCAAATTTATATATTCAAACCAGTTGAATTTTCCTGAAAACTAAAACTTATTTGATTTGGCCATAAATTACTAGTGATTTTTTCAAATTAATAATTTTTAAAATATGAAAAATTTTTTTGTAATATATTTTTACTCTATTTGTATACTTAACCTAAAGCTGTATCAAACTAAACTAGGTACATAACTTTTGTTTCTGAAACCTTCCAGAGGTTGATGTATCCAAAATTCCAAACCAGTTGGAAAATTTCCAAGCTGTAAACTAAAAAATAAACTCATTTAAATTGTACTTCAATTTAAGTTTGATACTAAATCACACATTTATACTATTATTCAGTAACTATGATTGAGTTTTACCTATTTGACAATACAAGTTGTTTTTGTCTCTTTAAAGGTGGCTCGGATGCAGTTGTTGCTATTGTAGTCTCATTACTATTAATTTTGTTTGTAAGATTAGTAACAACAGGTACAGTGGACAAAGTATCATGTGGTTGGGATGCCCTAGATGTTCCTATAAAATATACAAATTAATTTAGAAATAAATATCTTATACTAGTATATACTAGTAAATTATAACATGTTTTAAAAAAACTAAAATACACATAAGTTACCTGGTATGTTAATACTATTTTGAATTTCATTTTGATCCTTTTCTTTGGCTTGTATAATATTATCACGCTCTAACCTGGTCATATGCTTTCTTTTTAAATGCTCCATCAAATTTGACGTACCACTCGACCTTTGGTAAGTTTTTTTACAAAGCGAGCAATGGGCCTCATTAGAATTATTTACATCATTTATGAAATAATTCCAAACAACAGAACTATTTTTCTTGAGCCACGACATTATTTTATATTTAAGTAGTTCAGTACAAAATAAACAAAATTGGTCGGCTACAGTAAGCCAGTTAGCTCTTAAAAGTGCTGTTTTAATTTTGTCATTTAATAGGCAAGAGAGACTAAATAGTAAATAATATAGTAAATAGTAACGTCTTACGTCACGGAAAGCCGAAAAACGCGCGTTCGTCAAGAGGCGATTTATATTGTTTGGTTCACGGTCTTAGAAGATAAGACCGTGGTTTGGTTAAATTTATCATATTAAAATAATATGATAAACAAGTGATAACTGATAACACTGATAACACTGATAACAAAAAAACAATATAACTATTAACAAAATTAAGGACATAGATAAACTAGAAAACCATAAGTTAATATAATTACTTAAACTAAAAATAATATATACAAATATAAATTTATATAAATTAATTTCTTCTTTTATATTTTAAACAATAAATAAGAGCTAACTCTTTAAGATTATCACTTTTATATACATTGCGGCCTAAGCCATTTATAATCTTATTTATATTTTTTACATAAGTAAATAAAAAGTTTTTAAATTTTTCAAAAATTATACTTTTTAAATCATGTTTTGGACATATAGTACAAACTTCAATATTTATTTCAAAAAGTAAAATTAAAATTTTACCTATATTGGCTTGACCAAAATTAGGTAAAATATTTTTTGTAATATAAAACATTTGATTTATTACATTTTTAAATTTATCAGAAGGATAAAGTAATGATTTTTTGGTGAAATCCCTAATTTGTATTAAATCATTATTTTCAACATCACTAATCAATTCATTTTTACAAAGTCTACAAAAATGAGTGTCTTTTAGTACTGAACGAGCCAAATATCCAGATATATAACCTATTGTCATATCAGTAAGATATGTATACTTTACTGTAGTTGGTAAGTCAATCATGGTTATATTAATTAAATTTACATCTTTATCATTTTCAATTATTAGAAGGCTAGAAGATCCACTTTCTATAAAGTTCTTAAGATTATACAAAGCACTTTCACTATTGTCAATCACACAATTTCCAGATACTTTTAAAGACATAAAGTTGTTAATTAGTAAAGTTTTAAACCAACACATAAATTGATAACAATTAGGATTAATATTCCTAACACCATGACTACGTACACTTCCAAATAAACATTCTAATGGATCCTGGTTCACTTGCCTTGGCAAGAAATATTTTATGTTACATTTTTTTAATTGAAGCCAAAGATGTATGAAAGACTTTAATGTGAATATCCAGTTTTTTACAGAAGGAGGTACGGTGAGTTTACCAGTTCTTTTGTTGATGAACTTCATTGACTCGAATTCTTTGATGGCATACTTCCAATGTGCCATATGAAGGGATGTATTTCGAACAGCACTCCTTAGAGGTTTCCCATATTCAGCATTTATTGAAGATGCATTGACAGAATCAAATGTTTGGTACATAAATAAACATAACTTTGCAGTACCTACAGGATTTGCCAGCAAGCTTTCTTTGGGAGCTAAAATATTTAATTAAAAAAATATTAGTTACTTGTGTTTACAGAATAAATTCAGAATACTATTAATATACATACCATTATCAGCAACGAGTTTAATTACTGAAGCAACTTTATGACTGAAAACTTGTGCAGCATTTGATACCTTCATTTTACTTCTTTCAATGTGAATGTGGTTGTGATTCAATTTAAAAAGAGCCCGTAGACCGTACTCTTCATTTTTTTTGTCATGTTCATAAATGGCCACAATATGATCCCACGACGCCGTGTAGGTGGTTCCATCCATGGTAAAAATCAAATCTTTATTTTATAAATTATTTCTTATTCCTTTTAATAAATGTGGCGGGTCATAAATTGGTATAATTTCTTTACCGTCCACTTCAAAACCCACATTTTTTTTTCTCGGTTGATTAAGGTATATTTTTTATTGGTTTCAGATATAAGGTGATTGATAGCTGCCCTGTTTGTCCCTCCCTGGTCACAAATAGTAGCTACAATTTCAAATCCCGTTTTATTGAAACTTTTGATGACAGTTTCCAAGTAGTTGACAAGATCGCTGGTTTTGGTGGTATTGGTGCAGAAGTAATAGGCAAATGGCTGCTTCCATTTCTTAATGATTCCTCTTAACATAAAGACAATTACATGGTCTTCAAACTTTGCTGCTTGGTTTTCAGATTTATGAATTCCAAATACCATATCATATTGTTTATCGTACTTCAGTCCGGCACTTAAAGACATTTCGTCAAAGATGAGTGCACATTTTTTATTATTATTGGGTAATTTAGTTGCTTGATATTTAAGATTTTCTTCTATGTGTACATTTATTCCTGGTGTGAAAGGTATTCGGTTCAACATTGTATTCAATGTGGCTTTTGATGGAAGTGCAAAAATTGATGATAAAAATCTATAACCTTTGGGCGATGTTTTATACATAGACAGTGCTAAAATTTTATCTTCCAAAGTATACCTCCTTCCTTTTGGACTATTTTTTTGGATATGTACTTGAGTCTTAATGAAGTCTAGTGTTGTTTTATTAAGTTTTTCTGCTAAGTTGTTACAACTATCAGTTATAACAAACTTTTTGGCAAATTTAAGTTGTTGTTTGAAGGATACATTTTTTTTAGTCATACAGTTTACTTTTTTTATCATTTTCTTGGCTACGGTATATAGTTTTTTTTTTCTTGGAGTCAGGTCTGCTACTCTCCTCATTCCAATATTGTACAATAATTTCTTATTTTTAGCATTTACAGTATTTGGCAATTCAACCAGAGGTGGTGCTATACACAAAATATAAAAAAATACTGTCTAATAATCTGTATCAATTCAGTTACAAAAATAAATAATAATTTTCTTACCTAAAGAAATGTCAGACAAACTTGAAGCTAACGGTGACGAACAACTAACATTCATGAAGTCAGTTGACTCATTAAATAAAGGTAAAGCCAATGGTGATGGACAACTAACGTTCACCATATCAAATGATTCATCACACGTAGGTAAAGGCAATGGCGATGGACAGCTAACATTCACAATTTCAATTGACTCATTAGCCAATTACTGTTGTACATATCTGTTTGAAATTATAGCTGAAAATAAAATAGGTTTTATTATTTAACGTTCAACATATTACTGTCAATGCATATCCACTATTAAAATTAATTATAAAAAGGTTGTCAAGTGGATATACATTATTGTATACCAGCCACCAGGTGTCACCATTTAATTTCTGTGAGGGTTCATTTTGAAACGTTATTTATATTCAATTATTTTTATTTACAATCATAAAAGAAAAAAATATTAATTGTGGTTAGTTCAATTTAATGTAAACTATAACATCTTTTATTTATAATTAGTTCTTTAATGTTTGGAAAGAATGCACAATTTAGCACTGTATATATTTTCTATGACTATTAGCAATGTTTGGAAAGAACACTGTTCATATTCTTTAGTTAATGATACGCGAACGTCACTTGTTTATTATGATTTCTACAAAAGTAAAATAACGCTCGGAAACCTGACTAATAAACATTAGTAATAGTGTAATACAGTAGACATAAACGCGTATTAAGTTGTTTATAATAATACAAATAATATACATACTTGGTAATAACAATGTAGGCATTGACCCTCTTTTCAAACGCTTTGTTCCAGTACTGTAGCAGGAACTACTGAAATGGTTGCAACAAATCAAAAATGTGTTCCTCACATATGATTTTGAAAGTCCTTCCAATTTCTTATTACCAATACGCAAAACCCACAAGTCGTACTCAACGTCAATCAATGGAAAAACATGCTTTTTTACCATTCTCTCACTTTCACAACCCAACACACTGCACTTGTTGGAAGGCATACTTATATATTTGTGTTAAAACAAAATATAATGAATATGCAAAAAAAATTGGTAAAAACTGGATGAGTGCGTAAAAACTGTGGTGTAACGGAATACTCAAAAACGCGAGTCACCAAAATAATGCTATGTTCAGTTCTTCGAATTAAAAATTCTTCGTTCATGGAATAAAAAAAAAAAATAAAAAAAAAAATAATATTCCATGAGATCGACCACTAGCGGCGCGAGTGAATTTCTTATCAACTAATTTCAGAGTCATTGTTTTTACAGCTATGAGTTAAGCACCCCTGGTCACCACCATGGTACTGCACTCTAAAGTTCGACGTATTTTTCTAAATTGCTTTCGAAGTAAAAACATAAAAGAATTGGAGTTCACGAAATGAATAAAAAACGTAATGAATTTGGAGAGTTTCATCATATTTATAACGAATTAAGAAGTGATAGTGAAAGGTTTTTTTTAATTTTTTACGCATGTCAATAGAAACTTTTGACTTCATTTTGTCCATAGTAAAATTTAAATTAACAAAAAAAAAACAACAAATTTTAAAAAACCAATTTCCGCCACCGAAAGACTATGTGACACTAGGTAAGTCATAACTCATAATTTATTACAAATTAATGTTTTATTACATTAATAAAAACATTTATTAACAATAGAAATTAAAACAATGGAAATTAACTGAGGTATAAAAATGAAATAAAAATATAATTCCACAATTCCTGGTACCAATCTAGTGGAAAAAATGAACTATTATAACTTTAGCGTCTATTAAAAATAAATATTACAACTTTATTATTTTAGCGTAAATTAAAAATAAATAATACAAATTGATTATTTTAGCTTTAATAAATTAATTGTAATTATTTTGGTTATACACATTTGGAGTAGTTAAATTCGGCCCTGTATTTTGTGGAAACTGGTTGTAAGTCTTGTTTTGTTCTGTTAATAACGAAGTTATGGAATGTACATCATAGCCCTTTATTTTTCAATTACTTTTTGTTTAAATGTTTGAAAAACTACATTTTGAATATTTGTGCGCAGTTGTAATTTTTCCAATGCATCCAATTTTTTTAAATAAGGCAATAGACTCATTAAAATAAGGTAATCGGGATTATTTGTCATAGTTGAGTCCTTTTTTTGCTCTTCCCTAATAAGATCTAATTTTTGTTGCTCTATTTGCAAAAAAGGATCAAAGTCAATGTCTCCAACCCGTGGTTTCTTACCTTTTTTTTCTGGTGTTGGAAATTCATTTGATGAAACAGACCCAAGTGTTTCTTGAAGAAGTCCTTCATTAACATTTTCCTCATAATTACCAATTTCGATAAAGTCATCTTCTGAGTCATTTATCTCGGAATGGGTCTCAGAAATCATAGGAGTAGGAAGATTTCCACTTGTTACATTTGGAAGAAGGGTGTCTTTTACAAATAACATAAATTCAAAAAATGGCCATTTTGGCTTGTAACTTGTGCCTTGTGCTCCAGATCTTAAGGTGGGATCACACGGCGCGTTGCGCGTCGCGTGGAGCGTGGAGTGGTATAGCGTGGTACAGTTGACGCGCCGTCTGATCGGTATTGCGCGGCAAGGCTTGTATGATCGCCGCGTGGCTTCCCGACAATTGTCGGTCTTTGTGTCACGCGCCAAAGGAAAATTGGCGCGGCGCGTCTTATCAATCAAACGGCGCGTCGGTATTAATTGTTTATCAATGTATCTATTTATCATTTTTCATACTTTGAACTAAATGTATTAAATATTTATTAAATATATACTTATAATTTTATAATATTACTATATTATAAAATGGAATGGTCCAATGAACAAATTGCACAATTTTTGGAGCTGTACGAAGGTGAGCCATCTATATGGAATCTAAGTGATGCAAATCACAAAATTCGGAACCATGTTCATGATGCTTGGGGAAGAATTTCAAAAAACTTAAGTGGAGCTGAATATTCAATAAGTGAACTTAAAAAAAAAGATTCACTTATGGGGACTTACAGAAAAATGTCATTGAAGGGCAAGGCTAGCAAAAAGACTGGTTCAGGTACGGACGGGATATTCAACATTACCAGACACCACAAGCTTATTTGGCACCTTCACCTCGCCCTCGGTCATCACCAGAATATACAGATCTATGACCACATAACCAGACACAACAAACTTATTTAGCACCTTTACCTCGCCCTCTACCATCACCAGAACATGGAGTACCATCACCACAAAATCATGTTGCATCTTTGCTCAATTCCCAGATTTCATTAGATTATTCAAATTCTCAGTCATCAAATATTAATGCTTCTCAAAATAAAAAGATAAAAACTTCAGTATCTCAAAATGAACTAAGTTTTGATAGATTATTTGAAAAAATCATAGGTTGACTTTTTATTAGGTTTTACAAAATTTATATATTACCTATATGAATTAATTATATACAAATTATTATATTACATTAACAAATTTGTTTTATCTTGTCTTTCAACTCTTCTATTAATGCTGCACATACTTCTTGTACACAATTTGAAATAGTTTGTGGAGAGAATTTAAACAGGTAAGACAAGCTGATAAAACTGTCATCAGTGGCCAGGTATCTTAGTGTCACTGCTAACCTATCTTGTACTGGTATACATTTCCGAATGTTGGTGTCCATTTTTGAAACAAAAGGCCCAATTTTATTTAATAAATATGCAAAGTCAATTGATGACATTCTACAAAAATTATCAAATTTTCTTGATGGATTTATTCGAATGTCATGTAACATATGTGTTGCGTTGTATCTATAAAAAAAATGAAATATTTAGGTACATTTATTAGCTATTATATAAAAACAATAGAAAAAGTTAATATGGTTACCTACTATTTGCACTTTAAAAATAGAGCACATTCAATGATTCCTAACAGTATCGTTTTATCTACTACCTAGTCATTTTATTAAATAATTGTAAAACATTTAAAATCCTCTATTTTTAATTGTCAAATGTTTTTACAAGTTCCCTTTTAAATGTTTTAAAATCATTTTTTAATAATGAAATAATGTTTTTTTTTTTTTATAATTTATTTGTTTTTATTTTAATAATGTAAAATATAATACAACTGTCTGTGAAAGAAGTTTATATTCATTTTTTTTAAAAATCATTTAAAAGTTAGTAAAATATAATATAAACGTTAAGAGGATTCGATACCGTGATTTTCTGTTTTTGTCCAACACACGCCGGACATAGTATTTTAGACGTGTTTTTTGCCAAACATTCCAATTGATCTATTGAAGTGATAAGATTTCTGAAAACAGATTTGAATTTGTCGTCAAGTCTACTTGAAGTCGACTTTCCCACCTTTTTGATTTTTTGGTTTTAACTTTTCCAAAAATTTAAATAACAGAATTTAAATACTCTTTTTGAATATGACATTTTAAGAAATGTGGGAAAGTCGATTTCAAGTAGACTTGACGACAAATTCAAATCTGTTTTCAGAATTCTTATCGCTCCAATAGATCAATTGGAATGTTTTGCAAAAAACACGTCTAAAATACTATGTCGCGCGTGTGTTAGACAAAAACAGAAAATCACGGTATCGAATCCCCTTAAGTAAATTATGAATTATACACATACTACCTCCTTGTAGATAGATGCATATTATAACATATTATTTGGTCTAACTACAAGTATAGTTATAGGGACACATAAGCGCAATTAGTGGGGTGGTGTAGAGGGTAAGTCCTATAAAAAACTTGTAAATCCCACTAAAAAACTATTCTGAATTTGGTTGAAACCCCCAAATTGTTTTACTTTGATTGCACCTTTATGTATAATATAGGTGTTATAACTTGATTAAAATAAATTAGAAATTCATTAAGACTGGTACAACCAAATGTCCCATTGGACACTGGACACATTGCACATGTGACGATAAAATATAGTTGGACTAATAGACAATAGAATCAAACCATTTAATCACTAACTTATAAATACTAAAATATTTGTTTTAGATTCTGAGCGGAGCGATGAATGTATTGGTTTTACAATGATGTATGTTTTTGTTTATATTTTTGTGTCTGTCATCACGTTTTAGGACAGTAAAAGTGCTTGGATTTTCTTCATCAGTAGCTTTTCTGATAGGAAAGTGAATCTAGTTGGTACTTTGGGGGGTCAAAAGTATAAATTTACCGGTAGTTTTCACAAGCGCCGGGAAAAACAACATACAAATTAAGGAAAATTTTAATTTTTGGTTTTCCAAAAAATCGATTTTGGTTATTGGTGTAACTCTAAAACAAATGAACGTATATACATGAAATTTTCACTGGTTGTTAAAATTTGCATTTTCTATACACGATAACATTTTCAAAATATTTTGATTTATTTTGAACTGTTTAGGGACATTTTCATTTTCCATTTTTTTTTAGTTTTTTTTCTAAAAATATCAATAAAATTTTATTTGTTGGTTGCGAAAGCTTGAAAATTTAATAGAAGGCTCCTAATATGTTGTTTCAAAGGCAGATGAAAAATATTAAAAATCCTTAGTCACAATTTTTTTTTATAAGCATTTAAAGTTCAAAAATTGACAAAATATGGAAAAATCACGAAAATTAGCAAATTATTTTGAGTTAAGAATTCGTAAAAATTTTTCTTTTTAAATCTAAGATTTGAAAATGAAACACAAGATTCCTTATAAGATTATCTACCTTTATCAATAAAAAAATCTCTACCGGACAGTCAAATTAAATTTTTATGAGCGTTTGAAATTCAAATTTTTACAACATTGGATTTTCACTCGATTTCTCATGTAGCGATTTCCTTATTTTGTTGTAATTCAAAAACGAATAACTGCAGATACATGAAAATTTCACTGAATGTTTATATTAGCATTTCCTATACACCGTACAATTTTGAAAATATTTTGACTCTTTTTGAGCTGTTTACGGACATTTTCAGTTTTCAATTTTTTTAGTTTTTTTTTTTATAATTGTCAATAAAATTTTATTTGGTGGGCCAAAAAGTCTGAAAATTTAATACAAGCTTTCTTATATATTGTTACAATATTAGTTGAAAAATTTTAAAAATACATAGGCACGATTTTTTTTTATAAGCATTTAAAGTTGGAATTTTGACAAAATTTATCAAAATCTCGAAAATTATCAATCGTTGGAATTAAAAAATTATAAAATGTTCAGTTTTTATAACTAAGAGTTGAAAATTTAAAACAAAGATTCTCTTAAATAATTCATACTGTAACCAAAAAATCTAAAAAATATATAAACACACTAATTTTTACAGACATTTTAATTTCAAATTTAGACAAAATTTCATATTTAAACCAAGAATTACGATTTTAGTTATTTTGTTGTGATTGTATAATATTATTCGTGGGTACTTGAAATTTCTAAAATAATCTACTATATATATATATATATATGATAGTATCAGGGTTTGTTGTTGGTGTATAACGCGTTATAAGTACCTAATGGATATTGTGATATGATTAATTTGGAATTCATTATAGGTCAATTTTTTTTAATACCATAGATATGTGTTTAATATGTCTTATACCTAGAAGGACATACCGTCTCCGCTTAGAATCGTTTTTCTTATACAATGATATTATATCATTGAATTCAAATTTAATACCATCCATTATACAATGACCCACTTGTAACCTACGGTACAGCAGAGCGACACCCACTTGCCCACCTTTTTTTAAATTATATACTAAATATTTAACAAAAAACTTTTTAAAAGTAGTAAGTACTTTTTTACAACACTTGTGCTAAGTTAAAACAGTTAAAAATAAAATATAGTAAAAATGTAATTACTTATTCCGACTTTTGTAGTATGCATTAACCCAATAACGTTTTGTTTTTTGGTTTTTTTTTGGTGTCACTAGCACTTTTTAAAACTTGTCCACTTAGTAAGACATTTGCAGCTGCACAAACAGCAAGTTTTGATTTTTCGTCAGTATAATTCATAGTTTTATTAATATAATTGTGCAAGTATACGTATACGAATCACGATTAATAATTAATTAGTAAATTATAATATAAATTATTTATAAATTAATTATTAATTAATATCATACACCGCAGTCCACAACACGTGCACTGACGCACAGTCACTTCAAATTAACAAGATTAAATTGAATTTTTACGCGCAAAGATTAGAATAGTGTACCTATCACAATGGATAAGAATTGATGATTCCAGAACGAGACGTGCCTAGGAGAAACTTGTTGTTCCGTCTGATCACACAGGCGCGCCAAGTTGTCGCGCGGAACTTTGCGTGGGTTGTTGCGCGGTATATACACACTCCACGCGACGCGCAACGCGCTGTGTGATCCCACCTTTACAATAGGAATTTTTTGTAGTTCTACTCGAAATTTGTCTTTCAGATTCTTCCACTTAGCTTTAACAATTGTACCTACATTAAAATAACTATATAAATTGATTGCATATTATTTAATTCAATGGCGATTGGCGAATTAACTATAAGTAGGCAAGGCTAGGGTCAAGTTAACGTTTTTTTTTTTTTAACTCGTTAAGTTAAGTTATTTTAAAATAATTAAGTTAAGTTATAAGTTATTCGTATTTTTTTTTCTTTAACTCGTTAAGTTAAAAGTTAACTTTGAAAAAAAAGTATCTTAACTTAGTGTAAAGTTAAAATTTGCTAATTTTCAAAAATAAAAAATTCTAGACACATAATAATATGGTTTATTAGATAGTTTTTCTTTACGTCCAAGAAAATAACTTGGGAAATTTAAAATGATACATCAAAGTAAAAACACATAAAAAAATTTTCATTATTCTTCGGAAGAAAATTAACTTAATTTAGGTATTTTTGAAATAAAATTAACTTGAAGTTAACATGTTAATCTTGAAAAAAAGTAACTTATTAAGTTAAAAGTTAATTTGAAAAAAAAGTAACGAATTATTTACTGATAAAAAAAGACATCAAGCTTAATTTTTTTTCGGGAGTTTCCAGAAATGGTGACCCCCCCCCCAAAAAAAATACGCCACTGAATTTTATAAACAAACATTTAAATTATGGAACATTATGCAAGATGACAATAATAAAAACATTAAAATGTTATGTGCAGTGACGCCGAATACGTACTTTAGGTGGTGCATTTGCACATGGCACCTAGTAGCAGGAAGTAATAGGTAAAAAAGGGATGGGTGGGTGGTTAAAATTTGTGTTTGCACCACCTACTGAGTAATTCGGCGCCACTGGTTAAGTGTGATTATGAGTGGTTTTTTGTTACCTATTTGGCCCGGTAAATACGCAAACTCCTCTATTAAAACTGAAATAATGGCACTGTAGTAATATATAATATATTATTTTACCTGAAAAACCAACTACTTTTCCTATTTTTTCCCACATTTTGTTGGTTTTATCAGTTTTTTTGTATTCTGGATGCCGATCATTCCACAAAATAGGTCTTGATTGAACTTCAGAAATTAATAGTTCTCGTTGCTCATTCGTAAACTGAACTTTTGAAAACATGGTGATTTTAAAATGAATTTAATCTCATGAAATTTAACAAAAATGAATAAAATAACGAATATGACAACGGTCAAAATTCAAGACGTCTTGAAAAATAAACATCGCATCGTGCACTGCTCATCGCTAACGCTCAACGCGCAAGGTCAGTGTAAAAACCCCGATAAAATTACCGAGTTTGATTTATTTTCGTCAACGCTCGCCGCACATCGCCCACCGCTCACCGCGCAACGCTTTCCAATGTGCACGTGGCCTTAGTTAACTGAACGTTTGTATTGTATTGAATGTATACTTTTTCCTGGAAAAGGTAAAAATTCACCAAATAAAGCTCGGGTTACTGATGACTATAAAAATGTTTGTATTTGTACTAACAAAATAGAAAATCATGAAAAAACTTCAGCACATATTTACTCTTCACTCACACTTAAAATTCGACAATCATAATTACCATTGGTACCATCTATAGCTACTAAAAAAAATGAAGGAGTTTTAATGTATAGAGAAATAATCAGAGATATAACTCTATATTTAGGAAGACACAATATGGCTTTTAAAGGGCATCGGGAAAACTGGCGAAACAATATGTGTGAATATTTCAAAGATGTATGCTCTTTAATATCAAAATTTTCCCCTGCTATGGCAAATTATTTCTGTTCTCAAAAGCAAAAATATAATATTAACCAACGTTCTCAATAATCATTAACTTCATGGTGTCAAATAATATAAAATCAAGTATATACCTCACTATAAAAAATTCAAAGTTTTTCAGTATTGCCATATATTCGACATTTGATGTCCCTTACCGAGAAAAAATTTCTTTTGTATTCAGATATGTGGATGAGCAAAAATGTGAAATTAAAGAGTCTTTTAGCATTGAAGGATACTCCAAAAACAACTAGCAGCGTTTTGTGTGAAATTTTCAAAGAAATATGTAAATTAAACAGCTTAGATTGAACTAATAATTTGGTTAATCAATCTTACGATGGGGCCTCAATTATGAATGGGCAATATAATGGATTACTGCAATTAATATGTAATGAAAACCCTCATGCAATATTTATCTGGTGTTTCAGTCATCGCTTAAATTTAATTGTCGCTGATGCGGTTAGTGTATGTTCAAATGCCATTTATCTTTTTGGAAATTTAGAACGACTATACGATTTTATATCTATCAGTAAATATTGTGCAAAAATATGAAGAGCAAAAAAAAAAAAATTATGGCCAGCAAATCAGTCGATTTAAAAGAGTATACTGTACTAGATGGATGTCCCATAAATTTGAGTTAAATGTTGTACTAAATACTTTTGTTGCAATAGTTGAATGCTTAAATTAAATTTGCAGTGAATCTGGTGACAAAAAAGCGGGTTCAGAAGCTGCAGGTTTTTTTAATTATTTTCAATCCAAAAGATTTGTCTATATAGGTTACAGTTTTAAAGTTCTGCTTCAAATACTCGTGCCTGTGTCCAGTTTGCCACAAAACACTGATTTTGATTTGTTGGCTGCATCGTTTTTAATAAAAAAAAATATATGAGGAAATTGTTTCATATTGATCAGAGGAATTCAATATTATTTTGGCTGAATCTGAAGAATTTATGGATTCAATGCATAATATTGACTTTTATCCACTTCCAGAAAGACATGGTAGAAAAAGAAAAATGATGTTTGACGAACAAGCACCAGATGAGACAATCAGTGACCCTATAGTTAATTTTTTGTTTAATACTTATTTTTCTTCTGTTGATCTCATTTTGTCAGAACTAAATAGTCGATTCCTTGGCAACAATAATGAAAATGTAGAACAAATATCAATATTCAAGGATTTTTCTCTTCTATCAAAAAAACGAATGAAGGAATTAAAAGCAAACCCGACCCAATTACCTAAAGATGCTTTTTCAATGGTTTGTAAAATTTATGAAAAATATTTAAAACCAGAAGTCGTTTGTGATGAATATTTGAATTTCATTCAATGTTTTGATGTTTTTCTTAAAACTGATGAGTTGCCAAAATATCTACATAGTTATAATGATATAGCTTAAGATTCAGATTCTGAATTAGAAACAGAAAATTATGATTATATATATATGATGATGATGATGATGATAGTTATTCTTTAAAAAACGAAATTGAAAATTATGGAAGTTTGTTACCAGTATTTAGGCAAATAAATCTTATATTGTTATTTTTTTTATGTCTTGTTTAATATTTTATTATTCAATGTGTTACTAAATTATTTTAAAATACCTATCTATGAACAACTTTTTTTACAGAGTTTTTATGCGCAATGGTCTTCATACATTATTTCCAAATATTTATACAATATTGAAACGAGCTTTGACCTTGCCAGTTGGAAGTGTATCAACTGAAAGGAATTTCTCAAAGTTGAAGCTCATTAAAACAAGACTACGATCTGCAATGGGAAATGATCGGTTAGAGGGACTAATGATTATGTCCTGTGAAAATGACATAAACTTCATTTATGAAGAAGTTATTGAACATTTTGGTAAAACCAGTCCATATTTATTTAGAGCATTACATTAAAAATAAAAGTGTATACTGTATAATTTGTTCATTATAAAATCTTAAATGTTTAATTTTTGTATTTCTTAGAGATTAAATAAGTTATATTTATAAATTTATAATGTATTGAAAATTGCAATAAAATGTAAAGGTAAGAACCAGGACATCTCGGGTTCCTGGTTTAGACATCTTAATTATATTTCTAGTTATTTTAAGTTAATTACAGTTACAAAAAACAGTTCAAAAAAACGTTTTTTAAATAAAAAATGCGTGGGTGGGTGGGTAACTTTTGTTAGTTGCATGTGCTTTCAAAATACCTCAGTGAGCCACTGGACTCACTAACTGAACCATATACGATCTACTATGGCCACAGATTTCTATATAATACTTTATTTTGTTCACAGAGAAAAAACGCCGTGACCCGACGAAAATCTGTTCATTCTGCGCATCCCCTCGCGTCACTCCCAATAGCTGCCGGGAGATGACTGCCGACAGGAGTCGCTAGCATCGGCATCGGTAGCCTATTCTTGGAGGGGAAAATAGAGAATATCAAGGGAGCAGCCGTCGCCCGTCAGTCGTGTTCTCTCGGCGAACAGAGTATAGATTGGGTACGCATGAGAACCATTGAAAACTATGAAGACAGCTGATTGAACGTCTGCCATGTTTTCAGTTGGTAAAACATTACATTCATTATATAGAAGTACCAACGTTTTTAATATTAAAATAAAACAATAAATGCAAAATGATTTATGTAAAATATTTTTCTTTTTTTTAAAACAACAGGTTTAGAAATAATAAAATGGAATACAACATATTTGATATTTACCATATAAAATACCATACAATGCTAAATAACTTTGAGGCTTCAACTTATTCCGGGAGTACCTTATCTAATTAGTATAGATATCGGTGACTATAGCACCATACTTTTCAATATAACCTTACAAAATTTTAAATAATTTACAATTATAAAAAGGTGGGTAAGTGGATGTCGCTCTGCTGTACAGTAGGTTACAAGTGGGTCACTGTATAATGGATGGTATTAAATTTGAATTCAATGATACAATATCATTGTATAAGAAAAACGATTCTGAGCGAAGACGGTATGTCAGTCTAGGTTTAAGACAAATTATATACAAATCTATGGTATTAAAAAAAAAATTGACCTATAATAAATTCCAAATTAATCATATCACATTATCACAATATCAATTATGTACTTATAACACGTTATACATCAACATCAATAACAAACCCTGATCCTATTATAGATATATAGTACACTTTAGAAGTTTCAAGTAGGTACCCACGAATAATATTATATAATCACAACAAAATAACTAGGTTTTTTAATATGTAATTTCGTCCAAATTTGAACATAAAATGACTATAAAAATAAACTATGATTGTATATTTTTTAGATTTTTCGGTAAGGCAATTAACTACTTACGTGGAATCTTGTTTTAAATTTTCAATCCTTAGCTATAAAAGCTGAACATTTTATAATTTATTAATTACGATGATTAATCATTTTCGATATTTTGAAAAATTCTGTCAAAATTCGATGTTTAAATGCTTATAAAAAAAAATTGTGCCTATGTATTTTTAATATTTTTTAACTGATATTGTAACAATATATCAGGAGCCTTGTATTACATTTTTACACTTTTTGGCCCAACAGATAAAACTTTATTGATATTCATAGAAAAAAAAACTAAAAAAATTGAAAAATGAAAATTTCCGTAAACTGCTCAAAAAGCTTTAAAATATTTTGAACATTTTATCAAGTATAAGAATTGATAATATAAACATTCAGTGAAATTTTCATGTATCTACAATTATTCGTTTTTGAAGTACAACAAAATAAGGAAATCGCTACATGAGAAATCGAGTGAACATCCAATGTTGTAAAAATTTGAATTTCAAACGCTCATAAAAATTTAATTTGACTGTCCGGTAGATATGTTTTTATTGATAAAGGTTGACATACTTATGAGTAATCTTAAAAAAATAATCAGAAAATGCTGTGAGTTTATTGTTTTGTGGCATCTCACTTATAAAATCTATTGCAAAACAGTCGCCTACTTCTTCTGGGTTTAAAAATGGTATTCCAAATATATTTCCTAGCCATTTTCCTACATCTGAAGTATTATCTTTGTATTCTTTACTTAGGCCAGCTGCCTGAATTTTTCGCCACCATGATTGCGCAAGGTGAAATCTACATCCTATAATTTCGATATCAGCCCATGTATTCTTAATTCCTTCTTGAAGTCCTTTTTCAAAATCAACAATAACGCGTGTTGGCTTAAATTGTAAGCCATGATCCGAGCAATAGAGGATAATTGACTTTAATGTTTTAGTATAAGTATCTTTTTGTTTGTCGTGAAGCAGACAAAATACTAAAGGAACATTATTTATTAATAAAAAGTTTTCTTTTTTTGTGTTGGTAATAATATAATTTGTTTCTAAATAGTCATGTACTTCATTAATATTTTTTGGCAATACAGGTAAAATTTGTTGGCGAGCTCGATATACATTATCGCGTAATTGGTTTATATCATTTAATAAAAGTAAATCAGTATCTACTGATGTATAGTTCTCAATTTCTGATAAAACAATTTTGGATGGTCTTACCGAAGCATCTTCGATTGCTTTTCTTTTTGTGGAAGTCCTGAGAACTTGACGCACAATTTGTTTTGTCTCTTCATCTTATGTTGTAAGTTTGACTCATCTGTTAAAAAAATAATATTAAAACTACTTCAATATACCTATTTATGGTTATAATAGTTTTTATGTACGTACCCAGTTGTATATTATTTGAAATTGTATACATTTTGGCTGGACATGTTTTCTTGACACATCGCCAACGAGTTTTGCCACATTGACTCTCATGAGCAAAAGAAAATGTATAATTATTAAAAATTAATAATTTTTTTCCTCTTTCGGACATTAACACTTCCATTGTACCTACTTTATATTACGAACCACGAGTGTACTACTAGATATCGATCGTATAGTTTGCTAATCAACTAAACGATCACAATTTACAATGTTTCATAATCTTTGCACACTACACGCGTATGGCTATTTTTATCCATTTCATTTGATGACAATTGATAATTCTATATCATAAGATATTGGATAATTTATTACCTTTTGATAAGGCATACGCAGTCGCTTCGAATAAAGTTCGGTGTACACTGCAGTATTAGGAATTGTATCAATTTATATAAAAAATGTATACGCGCAACATAGACAAAACGCATTTACGCAGAATAATTTTTTCTATGATTTTAAGTAATCTTGGAGCAAACAAATAGTGCGCTGACATCCTCTTAAATATTATTTTATTACAATTTAAAATGTAATAGTGGCCCAATCACCGGGTCTTCTTATTATAAATATAAAATTTTAGTGGCCCAATTACCGTATACCTATGGAAAAAAAGGTGAATTGTGGCCCAATTCCCGGGCGCCCATTCGATTTCCGTCGTTTCGGATCTTTTGTTATTCTTAGGTATAACTGGTATAACTCAATGGTTAATACGCGGTTTAAGATGATATGCTACTATCTTAAATCGGGGTTCTCATAATCACATTCATCATAATATGATAATATGATCAACACTGAACACAATAAGCAAACAGTCTCGTGTGCATGGCTCTTATTCATTTTACTATGATAATTTATAGTAATTAATGACTAATGAGCATAGGCGTGTTCAGACTTTGGTAGCCGAGGGGGCACAGCAAATTTTTAAATTGTAAGACCTATTTTTTTTTAGACATGAAGAAACATTAATTTTTCATGTTATAAAATTCACAATGGTAGGAATATTTTTTAATTATGATAAAAAAGTATAACCATTGTCAAAACAATAAAAATATATTTAAAACTAAATTAAAAACAGATACATAATACATTGTTGATATAATTTATTGAAATAAAGTGCTTATAAATCCATTCGTCTATTATATGGTTTTAATACTTTAAAAGTCTCAATGACATAATCAAAGTTAATATTTCTTGCCAATTCTTGCTCGATACTGATGGTTAATAAACCATCCAGGCGATCTTGATTCATAGTGCTCCTCAGTTTGGTTTTTATAAAACATAGTTTTGAAAATATCCGTTCACACGAACAGCTTGTAACTGGTATAGTTACGAATATTTTAAAGGCTTTGAATACATTTGAAAATAAATCCTCTACCATGAACTGTAAGCCACTTAATCCATTCACCACAGGTTTTTCCTTTTGGATTTGGATCACTTTGTTTAAAATTTTATATCTGTGATCACAAATTAATAAATGCGTAACTAAAAAAATTACAATCAAAATCTATGGGTATAAGGTACTGCAGGGGTACACACCACACGAATTTTTTTTATCCTTACATGATTTTATTGGAGGCACAGTCGGCCGTGGGGGGGGGGGCAGTGCCCACCCAGCCCCTCCCGTAAACACGCCTATGCTAATGAGTAGGTTTTAGAAGGAATACTTAAGTAACTATTCTACATAGTTCATAATAAATTGATTTAATATACTATAGGTACTTTATTATTACATTTTAACATTATTTTACTACTTCTGAGTTCTGACTTGTAAGAGTTTACATTTTTTAATTGAATAATTTGAAACATTCTTAGAAATTAGCTTGCACAAAAATAAGCTTTTCAACTTCTGAAGTTGTTAGTCTACTTCAACGTTGTGTCAACACTTGCCCAGCTTTAGAAAATACCCGTTCACTAGGTACTGACGTCGCTGGCACACACAATCTTCTCTTCATCATTTCACATAATCGAGGATAAATATGTTTCCTTTCTGACCACCATTTTAATGGATCCATGTGACGACTGAGGAGGCATTAATTTAGATATTTGTCCATTTCAACTACACTTGCGACTGTTGAATTATTTTGACCTACAAGTGAGCTAACTCGTTCATCAAAACTCTTCCAAATATCTGAAGTACTGGTTGATGGCATTTCAATCGCCGTTTGTTCATTTGATTCGTTTGGTACTAATAATTCATTTTCAACATTCAAGGCTTATAATTTTTGCTGTAAACTTGTTTTTAAAATTTGAAATTTAGTTTCACTTGCAAAACCAATTTTTTTAAATCTTGTGTCTAGAATTATTGATTGTCCTTGAATTTCATAATCTTCTAGATTTTTAAAATAGTTAAAAAGAGTTCTTTTATTTCAGTTGCCATATTAATGATTATTTCATTGGAATTATTGTTGTAAATAAATGTATTTAAATGGTCAGTTAAAAATCTATAATATAAGTTTTGCTTTGATATTGTAACATTTTGATCGGCACTCATTTCCTCTGTTACATTGTTGAAAATACCAAGTAAATTACATGCTGAATCAATTAGTTCCCATTCTTGATTATTTATGCAATTTAAATCATTATTCATGATTGCCAAAGTAGAGAGCACTGATTCCTTAATTTTTAATATTCTAGACATCATGTGGTATGCAGAGTTCCAACGTGTCTTACACTCTTGTATAAGTTTTAAATGTTCTACTCCTGTTTGTTTATGTACACTTTCAAGTTTTAAAAGAGCGCTGGAGCTTCTTTTAAAATATTCCACTATTTCTTTAATTTTTTTCCTAACTGTCTGTAATTGTTAGAGTCCATTTCGTATACCAATATTCAAAACATGGGCAAAACATGAAACATGTCTCCAATTTGTTTGTCGAATTGCTGCTTTTATATTAGAAGCATTACCTGTTACGACAGCAGATATCTTATTTTCTAATTTCCATTCTCGAACAACATCTTTTAAAAAGACAGATAATTCAGTAGCTGTATGTTTCTCATTAAAATTAATACAACCTAAGATACGAGAACATAAATTTTGTTTCTGAGTTAATAAAATGTGCTGTTATAGCTATGAAACTTGTATTATTTATTGATGTCCAACCATCGGTAGTCAATGCTACCGAAGAAGCATCCTGTACATCCTTTGAAACTTTTTGAAAGGTATCATTATACACTTGTAAAAGTAAATTATTAGAGACTGTTTTTCTAGACGGTATCGAATAATTTGGAGCAAGCATGCGAATAAAATTGCGAAATTCAGTTTCTTCAACTAAAGAAAATGGATGGTAATGCTTAACTATAAATTTTGTAATTTGCTGATCAATAGCTTTTGATTTGGATATAGATAGTGGTTTTGTTATAAAGTTAGTTAAATTTCCTTGTCTGGACGAAGTGGATGGAGCTATACAGATTGATGACAAAGTGGATGGAGCTATACGGATCGATGACGAAGTTGATTGCATTATATCTACAGGTTCTGCAATTTCATTAGGATTATCTACGCTAGCCTCTATTTGATTAACCGATTGTTCTATGTTATTTAAACTATTTCTTGTTAGTTTTATAGTAACATGTTTGGATTTTAAATGCCTTAAAAGATTACCTGTATATCCACCTGTGTACTTTATAACCTGCATACGATAGCTACATTTAGCTTGAGTATCTGACTTAATTGAGAAGTGGTTCCAGATTGTACTCCTTTTGTGGTTCATAATTATTTATTTAATTATGTATGATATTCACTTATATATAATAACAATATAAGTTACCTTGTATATTGTAAACATATGCCTCAAATTAATAAAAATATAGATTGTTTTTAATGAACAATTTAAACTTTAAATAAATACAACACCAAAATCAAATTACAATCATCTTTCTACAACATCACAGTAGTTAATAGGACCATTTGTCACTAAACATATTATTGATAAATCTAATAATGCATTATTTTAATTTTGTTTTGAATAAATATGTTTATTCTCTGTTGCCGGTTGGAACATGTCTATTTCAAGTTATTCTATGTATATGGTATATGGTATATATGTACCTATTTAAATAGTAACAGTGTAGTATGACATATGTACCTATTGGCTATTACAAGATGAGACATGTCAACTTACTGTTTATCAAACATATATCAATATATGTATAAGTATAATATAATTATAAAGATTGAGTAGCCATGCATGCATACCAATAATACAAATTACAAAAATAATGTTGCTAGCTATATATTACAATGGTTGAAGAAATAAAAATAAATATTTAAATTGTCATAAGCTGTCAGTTTCAGTAGTCTTACAAATTAGAGTACAGTACTACAGTTAACTACTAAAATTGAATGAATCATTTACAAATTATATTGTATATTATTTTGGTATTTTGTTGAGGGAATAAATAAATTTAAATTGCATTATGTACCATATTATATTATAGACCATGGAATAGTGAACCTTCAATTATACCCTAATCAATAATATATTTAAATATTTAAGTACGCTAATTTTGTTTACAATTTTGAATCCCTCTTCTATTTCTTTTCGAATTCAAGTACTGAATTTAAACCTAAATTTATATTCAGTTCAATTTTAAACAAAATATAGTGAATTAATATTTAATGCAATTATAACATAATATGTACCTATATTATTATTGGAAACATTGTTTTATATTTCAACTTTCACTGTAACTTGTAGCTTTTTAAATTTGAGAGTTGAATTTTAAATTTTAAATTTCAACTTTAAATTTTTAAAGTTGAGACTGAAGAGGACGCTATACACGCCTACATCCATACCTATGTGTTATTTTCTGTCTCACACATGCGTAACACGCCAAATTTTGTGTTCAGAATAATCCATTTAACTTTTTATTTTGAAATTTGAGTGAATTTTTAACTATACATTTTAATTTATAACTTGATTTAAGAAAGTTATATTCATCTTAAAATTGCTACAAATTGTAAATACAAACAAAAACGTAAAGAGTTTTAGATTACCTACTTAATGATATCTAATTGCATCTTTAAATTGTATAAACGATCACTCAGTTTATTTTAAAATTAAGAATTAAACTATTCTGAACGTACATATTATTATTTTGTTATGTTACGTGTGTGTAGGTAAGTTGTAAGACTTAACGACTGATACAACACATGCAGGTGTGACGTCCCCTCTATTCTCATTTCTATTGTACCAACTACCTATATAAGTATATCGTATCATCGTATTTGAAAATAAAATACCTAACTAAATATTCAATAATTTCAATTCTTATGAAGTCTTGTCTTGTAAAGTCGGTCACACGATTGACGACATTATTCGTTCTACTGTGGATAATTCTACTATTCTAGGCCTAACAATTTACATTTTGCGGTCACCTGATTCGTTCAATAAATTAATGATACAAATATTCTGGGTCAAATGGAAAATTACGGGGCTGCCGGTTCAGTAACTACTGTTGACTGCGACTCAGAAACGGGTAAACTGATAAAGTAGAAAGAACTACAAGGATGATGATCCATTGAACGATATGACCGGGTCATTTGAACGGATCATTTGTGTGAGCTGATCCAAATGATCTGAATCAGTTAAATGAGTCATTATTCCCATCCCTAGCGCCTATAACCGATTTAACTAGAGGCCACTTCGAATCAAAAAAATCTCCGGTAAAATGGCTAAATAAACACACAGAAACGTTTAAAATACTTAAAGAAAAGTTAACAAACCCACCGTTGTTAAAACATTTCAGCCCAAACCTACCAATAGTCGGACCGATGCGAGTAAAATAGGAATTGCAAGTGTTTTATCCGAGTTCCTGGGCCACATATATATTTTCAAATTATTTTTTTAAGTTATTTAATGATAATTCAGATAAACTAATACAAGCCGTACATGGACAAAGTCTTTGTGGGAAATTGGTTCCAAAGAATACATGAACGCAAATATAAAAAAAAAAGTTGGGCCGTAGTAGGTTGTCTAATGTACCCTGATTGGAACGAAAAAGAGCAACTGGAAAAAGATGAAGCAGGTAATTTGTAATTATACAATTTCTTATTGGACAAGTATAATTATATTAATTTGACTCGAAAACAATTCGCGAGGATTTTGTTAAATTTCTTAAAGTAATTGATTTAAGTGGAGAAGCATTATTAAAAACTATTACTGAATTAATACAACAGATAGGATTAAGTTTGATAATTTAAGAGGACAGGGCTATGATGGGGCTGCCAACATGTCTGGCAAATTTAAAGGCACTCAAGCTTATATTTTAAGACACGAACCTCTAGCTACATATATACACTGCTATAGCCACGGCTTAAATTTAGTTTTAGTTAAGGCTTGTTCCGTACAACCAGTGCGAAATACAATTGGAATTGTCGAAGAAGTTACTAACTTTATAAGGGATTCTCCAAAAAGAATTGAAATTTTTAAGAATGAAAATATAAAACATTGTCCAAATCTTAATTCAGATATATTATTAAAGCTATGTACAACTAGATGGGTTGAACATCATGAAGCTTTTATACGTTTTAACCAAATACTTCCTGCTATTGTATCATTTTTGGAATATATGATTGAAAATTCTGACGGACAAATTTTGATAAAAGTTGATGGATTATATAACTCAATATTAAGATTTTATTTTTTATTGACATTACAAATTATAATAAATACCATGAGTTGTACACTACCATTACCAAGAAAACTCCAGTCTCCAACTTTTGATATATCTGAGGCACAATCTTTAATACTATCTGCTTTTACTGTTTTAACAAATCAACGAAATGAAAATGATTTTAAAGATATTTTTAAAAAATCTGAAGATATTTCTAATAAATTTAACATTGAAGTTAATATATCAAGAATAGCAAATAAACAACGTAACCGCTTAAATATTTCTTCAGAATCAAACACACCCGAGAGTTATTATAGAATTTCTGTTTATTATCCATACTTAGATTCATTGTTAAGTGAAATAAAAAATACTAATATTTTAAACTTAAAAGGCTTCATACCTAAGTCTTTTAACACTATTGAAGTTTCAAAAATGTTAGATGCAGCATTATTGCTTACAACTGATTTACCAAGTACGAGGTATATCCAGAAAGTAAGTTCCGTTTTGTATGTATATTTTGCATGGGAACAATTTAATCATCCGCCCTACAGTCCAGATTTGGCACCCAGTGATTTTCATCTTTTTTTACACATGAAATCATTTATGGGTGGCCAAAACTTCAACGAAGATGATGAGGTGAAAAAGGCTATTAGCGCATGGTTACAATCACAGGCGTCATCTTTCTATGATGAAGGGATACATAAACTAGTACCTCGATATGATAAGTGCTTAAATAATGGTGGTAACTATGTTGAAAAATAGAGTAATACATGTATTTTATATTCAAATAAAATTTATAATAAAATTTACACATTTACATGTTTTTATTGTCCAACGGAACTTACTTTCTGGACACGCCTCGTACTTTCGATGAATTAAAAGGAGAATTGAATACCTGGCATGTAATATGGAAAGAAAAGCCAGAAGATGAGCTTCCATCTACTGCATTGGAAACAATATTTTTACCTCTCATGGATTTTTATCCAAACATCAAAAGACTTTTATTAATATTTGCAACTATTCCTATGACGACATGCACATCCGAAAGGTCATTTTCCTAACTTAAGAGAATCAAAACCTACTAAAGATCAACTATGGGAGAAAATCGATTGAATGGATTAGCATTGCTTAATATACATCCAGAAATAATTATAAACCCTGTAAACCCTGAAGAAGTAGTTGGTATATATGCTAACAATAACACCCTAGACGCCTTCAGTTATTATAACTACACAAATTACTTTAAATAATATTGCTTTTATATGTTTAATTATACATTTTTCTAATAAAATTTTATGTTTATATCAAACACGTGTATTTTGATTATTTTGTTATGAGTGATGAAAAATATGAGATATTTTATAACTCTACGTCCCATGTACGCTAATTTGAACTTTTTGTTTGTTTCGCGACTCTTCAAAGAGTTATGTACTGATATGGACGCCGATCATAATATGCTTATTTTTCATACAAATGTTCGATGGCTATCAAAAGGAAATGTAACAAAACGAGTGTTTGAGCTCAGAGAAGAACTCAAATTATTTTTCGAAGAAAATAAAAAACTGAATTTTGCAATTGGTTAAATAACAAAGACTGGATTACAAGTCTTGCATATTTAGTTGATATATTTGAGCATCTTAATAAACTCAATTTACAAATGCAAGGAAAATATAAAAATAATATTATTAAGATATTAAGATTAAGTTGATTTATATTTTATTTTTAGAATTATGAAAAAATAATTATTTCGTATCACTAAAACAAAAAAAGGTCTTTTTAATTCTAATTTAAGGGGGGCATAGGATTTTTGAAAATTTACAAGGGGTGCATAGAATAAAAAAGGTTGGGAACCACTGATATAGAGAATGTAAAAAATGTTTGGAATATATTGTGACAAGGCTTGAACTTAGGAAACTGAAACTAATAATAAATTTATTGTGAATAATATCTTACAAAATCAGTTGCAAAATGAAAACAATATTTTTAATATATGTTTTCCATTAAATAAAAATGAACATGCATATTTTTTTAGCATAGTGAAAGTAACAAATGATGTCCTGAAAAAAATTTTTAATTCTACTATAGATCAGTCAAAGAATGTTGATTGGATGAAAGAAAGATCAATACGAATTTCTGCAACCAAGGCTCACAAAATAAAAACTTGTAAATGTATTTCTAAAGAAAATCTTGTCAAACTTGCTAATACAATGTCTATTGATACAAACTTAATTGTTAAAGCGGCGATAAATACGGCTTATGGACTGTGTACTGAAGGTGTTGGGATTGAAGCGTATAATAAAATGTTTAAGGTAAAAGCTGTAAGAGTTGGACCAACTATTCACTCTAAGTATCCATGGTTATGTGCATCACCAGATGCATTAGTCTTGTCACAGAATGGGAATATTAATAAAATTCTTGAAATTAAATGCCCTATTTCTTGTAGAAATAAACTCATTTTTGATGAAGATAGTAAAAAATGTAATTTAAATTATCTAAAATATGAAAATGATGAGATAGTACTGAAATCATCTCATCAGCACTACACTCAATGCTAGATTCTAATGTTTGTTACAGGCCATAAGTGTGACTTATTTATTTATAATTCTATCAAACCATTACTAATATGTTTAGAAAAAGATGATCTTGTTTTGGAAAAGGTAATTTCAAAATTAGAGTATTTTTATTTCAACTATTTCTTACCAAATATCATTCTAAGTTCAAACAAATAATTTTAAGACTTTCATTTATATTCTATAATATATATTTTGTAATCATAATGTAACAGTACTATATTATAATGTTTAAATATTAATTATATTTAAGTATAATAAAAAATAAAACATATTTTAGAGTGTACCTAAAGAAAATAAGTTTTTTATAAGTGGAGGTTGTAAATTTGATAACACACAACAAATATGTACAATGTTGTCAATGTAAGGTAAAATATAAATTGGTATTTTTTTTTAAATACCATAAGTTTTCAATCTTGCAAAAAACCTTTCTATGTATTCGTATGTTGGCAATACTATATGTTACAAGAACTTCCTGTTCAGTTAATCTACCATTGTGTAAAATGGGTGGCATCACTAAGATAGTATTATTATTTTCACAATTAGTTTTTATACCAGGAAACCCTTTATCTGCCAAAATTTGATCACCTGGTTCTAATATTGACAAAAATCCACTATCATTTGTAATGAAAGAATCACTCGATCTTCCACCATACATTTTGGAAATAAATGATACAGCCCCACTTGGGGTTATTGCAGCTAAAAATGTAATTGTGTAACACCCTTTGTAGTGGGAGTACATATAAACTCTCTGTTCTACAGTTGGCGGTTGTTCCACTTTTATTTCAGTACAATCAATTATACAACGAGTACTAGGATAATGTTTTTTAAATATTTCTGTAACTACGCAAGTGCGTAGTTAGGTCGATGGCCACATAGACCACATCCGTTAGAACCAAGATACAGTATCACTAGGCTAGGGGAGCGGGGACCGGACTACAAGAGGGACCCCGAAACGGCCTGTATTCAGACGCAGGGGGCGGTAACTCTATTGGCGAAAATAGTACATTAAAAATAGTTCATCCATCAAAAACTAGTGTCGCTGGTTTCTGTTCTCTCATATCTATGGTACTATCGCACAACCTCAAAAAATTGACTGGTCTCTGGTTCTGAAAATCGCCAAACCACATTTTTCTGCGAACGAAATCCGCACAATTCGCATCATTATTTCTGTTCTTGGTTCGTAATTGATTTCGTCTGGTTGTATAAAATAGTATTTGCTGTGCACTTTTCCGAATTCAACAATTCAAAACATGGGTAAAGAAGCATACAAATGTTGTGTGAAAGGCTGCACATTTAAAGGTAATTTTATATGTATAATATAACTAATATTTGTCAGTGGCATTTTTTGTTAAAAATTGTCAGGAAACTGCTTAGAAATGAGGAAAGCATAATGTACGTCAGGTGCCTTTGCACCTACGTATGTTTTTTGTTTCCCCATATCTTACTGTGTGTAACATGACATATTTACGTTCAGTAGAACAATATATTTACCTACCTACTTGACAAACGAAAAATTAAATTTTCAATACTAGGTGGAATGTCACACCGTTTTCCGAATCCAAAAGTATATTTGAATGTGATGAATGAATGTATTCAAATATTAGGTGAAGAACAATTTTCTGGTTTAGACTCTTCAACTATTTATTTAAAAAAAAGAGTTTGCTACAATCAATTTGATAAAAATGATTACAGTCCTGGATCTAAAATGTTGAAGAAATGTGCAGTTCCAGTTCTAAATATTGGAAAGACAACTATGCATGTAGCATAATTAATAAATTTAATATGCTGGACGCCAAGGAACTTTCAATACCGATAGATAAATCACATACACTTGAACAAAAGGAAGATACGGAAATATTGAATGAAGATATTCCTTATAGGCAGGCAGTAGGTAGCTTACTGTTCTTATCACAGGTAACAAGACCAGATATAGCATATGCAGTAAACTTTGCTAGTCGTTACTTAGCAAAACCAACTAAAGCTCATTGGAACTTGGTAAAACGGATTATACGATATATCAAGCGAACATTTAATTATGGCTTGTACTTTAATAACAAAACAAAATTGTCATTAGAAATATTTAGCGATGCAGATTACGCAGGTGACATTCAGACACGACGTTCGACGTCAGGATTTCTATTCAGGTACGGGTCAAGCATAGTTTCATGGACATCGCAGAGACAACATTGTGTGTCGTTATCATCGACAGGGGCTGAATATATTTCGGCCAGTGAAGCTGTCAAAAGGATCTTGTGGATTACACGGTTGATAACAAGCTTATCGACAACAGGTGACAAACAACCAGTTTTATTTATAGATAATCAGAGTGCTATACGTTTAGTGAAAAATCCGGAGTTTCATAAACGGACAAAACATATAGACGTACGGTACCACTTCATACGAGAGAAATACGAAGAGGGACAATTCCAACTACAGTACATTGGAACAGAGGACTAGATTGCGGACATTCTAACCAAGCCTTTGGTTAAGGAACGATTCGAGAAGTTGCGGTTATCCATAGGAGTGACTACAATTAAAGAGATTATTAATTGAGGGAGGGTGTTGAAATATACAATTAATATGTAGTATATATAGTCAGCCTTGACACGTGTGTACAATATAGTAACTAGTTATGTACGAGCATAAGACTCACTCTCTTCACGGATGTAACATGACCTCGGTCGTGCATATATATGTATAGGGCCTTTGATGTATGTAATATTCACTTGCACAGGCGTCGTTGTACAGAGCGTATACGATGTGTGTGTACTGTCACAGTTTAATTGTCCAGTTGTACGTTATTATATATTATACTTATACATAATCATATTGTCGTGTTATTACTTATTATATTAATGCTAACATCATTAGTCCGTCAAGCTTCACTTTCAACAGCAGCGATAAAGCTTTTTGACGTCTTCCACTGTTTCCTCAAAAGTTTTAACTCCTCGCTTTTTTATCTCTGTAAAATAACGAGGTTTAACAATATAAACTTTTTAATGTAATAGACTTTGTGTTTCATGTACCTGTACTGCGTATGTTGGATAAGTCTCTTAATGTTACCATTTTACCGGTTTCAGTGTGGATTTTGGACTGGATCAACTTTTTATTTGCCTTCATATCCATAAGTTCGAGTGCTTCAGCTCTCATTTGAGGTGCATCATCAAAGCGTCGTTGATTTGGCAAATTGGAGAACAACAATGCAGAAGTCTCATGGTTATGTGTTTCGTCCATTTGGGATATTTCCAACTTCATGCCATCGCTAGTAACTCTCACATAAATAAAAGCTGGACAATTTTGTTTCATTGTGCTAGATAATATAAAATAACATAAATGTCCAAACCTAATGGTAATGAGTATGAAGACTGTTTGATAATACTTACGATGTGGATCGTACATCTTCACATTTTTTACTTTTCTTAAAAGCACCGCCATGTATACAAATAAACTTAATAAAATAATATTTTAAACTATCTGGAGTAAATTCCAGTTTCTTCGGATATTTCCGGAGAGCTACATTTAAAGTGCGACAATCACTCGTGGAAAAATCATAAAAAAAAATGTTTTTTTGTAATTTTCAAACTCACTTTGAAAGTCAGAGTATGACTCGAATAACTGACCAACGGCTAACATTCTGTTTCTTTAATAATAATTGTTTAAAAGTTTAAGAGAAGTCACTTACCGTGTTATGGAGTTTACTGTATGACAAATGTGATCTTGTATTAAAAAAAGAAATGTTGGGAAATGTTCACAATTTATATTTCAGGTTTTCAATAGAGAAGGAATGAGCTCGGTCGTGCATATATATAGGGCCTTTGATGTATGTAATATTCACTTGCACAGGCGTCGTTGTACAGAGCGTATACGATGTGTGTGTACTGTCACAGTTTAATTAAAACCTTACGGCCAGAACGCAGCCCCATCCAACGATGGAAGGCACAGACTCGGGGTGTTCCCGATGAGCATGAATGGCGTAAGTGGCAGAAACGGGGGAACACGCCCGAGTGCGTTTCTGGCCTGGGACATGCTCATACGTCAGGGACGCGGAGTTCGGCCCTGTTGCGGGGGCCGTACAGAATTCCGCATCAGTATTCCCTGCTTGTCGTAGAAGGCGACTAAAAGGGAAAACGACCAGTCGGGGTCGGCGCCCGGGGCGCGGACGCACCGAAACCTACGGGGATTAGGGCGTTGTGAGGTTTTGACCGCGACCTCGTGAAGAGCGGGTCGGTCACTGGGCTTAGCCACCTGGTGACGCCTTGGTGGCGGTGCTCGAGGTTCTGACTGCGACCTCTTGAAGAGCGGGTCGGTCACTGGGCTTAGCCACCTGGTGACGCTTCTGGGAGGCGGAGTCGGGCCCACCGTGGTACACGGCCCAAATCTCGGAAGGACCATAAGCTGAGGCAACTTGCCGACGAAGCTTCGTCCGCACATCCGACCATTGATGTGCCTTACCTGACGGGAGGCGAGAATGGTGCTTCGGGATGTGAGGGGGCCCCTCGGTGTTGAGAGATTAACAACGAGCCCTCACACGTCGGTCGTGGTGGACACTGCCTCGACCGACGGCGGTTTGGTTTCGAAGTGGCAGTTTGCAGGAGCATACTATGTGGTGATAGGCCACACGCTTGGCCAGGGGAAGGCGGCCGAGTGACTGGACCGGGCGGACTCGTACGGCGACAGTCGGCCGGGAAAGCACGGTCCTCCTTAGCGCTCACCCAGCTTATCGTTGGAGCTATATGCAGCGAAGGTTGTCCGTGACCAAAAACGGAAAGCAAAGTGGATAGATTGCGGCCTCACCAGGGTGGCGAAAGGCACCTGTATTCCCTAGTCGGATCGCTCCGGGGTACTCCTCCGTGCGCGTCCGGTGCTCGTGGTCCTTAGACGACGTGCGGTCGTATGCCTCTACGGCCCTTGACTAGCACCTAGTGCTAATATAAGGTCCATAGTTGTAGTCGGAGGACTTGCCGTAAGGCTTGTCGGATGACGCCAAACCCGGGAGCTTCGTGTCACAGTTTAATTGTCCAGTTGTACGTTATTATATATTATGTGTTATTACTTATTATATTAATGCTAACATCATTAGTCCGTCAAGCTTCACTTTCAACATATACCACCTGGATTTTGTATTCTTATATGAGTACAATCAATACATCCTCCTACACCTGGCATTCCAGCTATTTCGAAAAACTGTTGTCTAATGACTGACCATTCAGCTTCAGTTTGAGGAAACTTTACATGGTCCCTAAAACGACTAGCAATCTCATGAGAAACTCTTTTAATAATTCTAGACACAGTACTCTGGTCAATGCCTCTCAAGTCTCCATAGACAGTCTATAAATTAAAAGTAACATGTCTTAAATAATTTTTACAAATTAAAATTAGGTGGTATTTCACTTAAAAGTTTGCTGTTGCATAAAATCGTAATGTTGTCAATAACTGTAGAATGGGAGGTATAGGCAATCCTCGATTATTGGCATAGTTAATACCTAATAAATTTAATAACTGATCCATGACAATAAGTTTTGGAAATCGATAACGTTTTAAAAATGTGTTGTCATTATATTTTTCAAACGGATCTTCAATATTACGAATATACCTTCTTGGAATTCGTTCAACATCAAATTCGTCGAAATATTCATCAACCATTTCTACATAATT